AGGTTTGAAAAACAAACTATACAGTACTATGCTCACTGCCTAGGTGACGGAATCAAACCCCAACCTTCAGCATAACGCAATATACTCATGTAATACCTCCACATATACCCCTTAAATCTAAAACAAAAGTTGAAATTATTTTTAAAAATTTAAATAAATAGGCAGGGCACAGTGGCTCACGCCTGTAATCCTAGCACTTTGGGGGACCAAGTTGGGCGGATTACAAGGTCAGGAGTTCAAGACCAGCCTGGCCAATATGGTGAAAACCCATCTCTACTAAAAATACAAAATTAGCCGGACTGGTGGCGGACGCATGTAGTCCTAGCTACTTGGGTGGCTGAGGCAGGAGAATCGCTTGAACCTAGGAGGTAGAGGTTGCAATGAGCCAAGATCGCACTACTGCACTCCAGCCTGGGCAACAGAGTAAGACTTCATCTCAAAGAAAAAAACAAATTTTTAAATAAATAAATTACTGATATAAGAAGGCAAATAACTAAATAATACAATCAAGAAATCAGATTAAAATAAAGATAAATTATGGTGAGTGCCAGGTAGGGAATGAACAGAGAACAAAGAGTGAGAATAGCTGAAAGAGGTCAGTTGAGGCAGGCTGAGAAGACATCTAAACCTGGAAGGATGAGAAGCCGGCTGTGTGAAGAGGTGGGGGTGTCTCTCAGAGAGAGGGATGGATAGCAGGCATAGGGCCTGGAGGCAGGAAAGACATGGTTTGTTAGGACCCGAGAAAAGGCCAGTGTGGCTGGAACGGGAAGGTCAGGAGGAGGGAGGGAACACTTAAAGTGGGAAAGGCAGGAGGAGCCAGGGCCTGCCAGCCCATGGCAGGAAGGAACTGGAGTGTACTAACAGAATGTGAAAAAGAATGTGCCAGTTTCTGGAACCATCCAATTGGAATGGGCTACTTTAGCAGATAGAGAAGCTGACATCAGCCAAAACTCATCTCCACAGTTCCCCAAAGTGTGGTGCTAGAGCCTTTGTGCCTAGAGTTTGGCTTCGCATTTATTCTTATCACATTTCATCTGTTAGAGCCAAGCCCTCCCTCCAGCCTGAGGAGCTTTTTTCAGATAAGCATCCAATGTTCTCATCTGAAAGCCACAGTTAAAAATGTTGACTAGGACAGAGCTGACGGCAGAGCTCTTTCCAGCTGGCAGCTAACTAAACCTGCCCTCCAGCAGAGGGTAGAGGCCATTATTAGGGATGTAAGTGAGGGATGCAGGCCTTACAGGACGAGCAGATGACCTTACAATCTCTGCTCTTTCTGACAATTTATTAGATCTGTGGACTGCATTACAAACGGCAGCACACTTTATGGTGTTAGTGGAAGTTTAGGGGATCTTGTCTTCATGAAGATTCAGGAGGATGTAGATCTGGGAAAAGAAAATTTCTTTTCTCAGGAGTATTAAACTGGAACAACTTTTACTACAGATGATCAATATTTCTTTTTATGCCAACAAAATATCTCTGCAAGGTTCCAGTGTACACGGTATCTTTTCAGCAATTGCTTTAGCATTTGGACCCTGAGAGATGTTATGAAGTACACAGGGCCACTCATCCACTCAGCACCTGAGGAGAAAGGTGTGTGATAACCATTGTGGGTTGGGTCCCTTTTAAACCTAGAAGTTTATATTTTTGCTACTATTCGAATCTTCCCATTTAAGAAGGCTGGGCTTAAAAGCCAACATTTGGAGGAAGCACTTCCCTTGAGCATTGAAGCACAGCAGGCAGAACCAATTCTTTTTGGAAACTTCAGAGCATCTAACAACAGCTCGGTAATTTTGCACTAGGCCCAAAGTCCAGCTCCATTTCTATTGCCATGAACCACCTAGCACCGGGAGTGTTTAGCTTTGGCACCTGGTTCCCCCAAGTGCAGATGCTCACATGCTTAGGATTGTTTTTCATTTATAAGGTTTAAAAAATGGGATTCATCTTATAATAACGTAATTTTAAAAATATTTGTATTAAATTTTTTTTAAATGTCATTTGAAAATATAGAAAAAATGGAGCAGGAAGCTGCTAAGTGTGCCCAACAGTTCCACATCTGACCATAACAGAGTCAACACAGCCCTGCTTCAGAGCGGATTGCTGCGGCACGTCAGAATTCTCACTGTCTATTACAGAAGAGGCCCAGCTAAAAGAAACAACAGGCCAGGCATGGTGGCTCACGCCTATAATTCCAGCTACTAATTTTAAGGGGCCAAGGCGGGCAGATTACTTGATGTCAGGAGTTTGAGACCAACCTAGCTAACATGGTGAAACCCTGTCTCTAATAAAAATACAAAAATTAGCCACACGTGGTGGTGCATGCCTGTAATCCCAGCTACTTGGGAGGCTGAGGCAAGAGAATCGATTGAACCCAGGAGCTGGAGGTTGCAGTGAGCCAAGATTGTGCCACTGCCCTCCAGCCTGGGTGACAAAGTGAGACTCTGTTTCAAATTAAATAAATAAATACATAAATGAGTGAATGATTGAAGCAGGAATCCCAGCAAAAGATCTTCAACAAAAGACCTTAGCATTGCTTTCTTCTCTAGTATTAGATATGCCAGGAGATGCAGTTAGAGCCACTTCTACATGAGTCTATTTCTCAAAGTGTGGGCCCCAGGTCACCTGCATAAGAATCATATGGAGTAGAATGGGGGATGGTTCTTTAAGGTAAAGATTCCTGGACTTTATCCTGACCCAGTGCATGGGAATCTCTGAGGATGTGGCCCAGGCATTTGTTTTCCTTAATAAGTTGTCCATGTGATGACTTTAGACATGCTAAAGTTTGAGAATCACTCCAGCCATAGCTGTCTCCTCTCTAGTGGGCCACAGCTGCCACTGACCTCCTCCCCCACCCACAACCCTCCCCCCACACACTAGGGGAATCTTTCTGCACTAGCAGCTTAAAGGCTTTTCTTGGTCTTTTTGGTATATTTTTAGTCAAGTAATAAAAATAATGGCAAACAATTAGACAGTCTTTACTGTGTGCTAGTTATCATTCCAAAACTTCTATTTTTATGTTTACTGACTCATAATAACTTTATGCGGCAGGCTTATTATAATCCCCATTTTATAGAAGAGTGAATAAAAACACAGAGATGTTAAGTCACTGGCCCAACATCACACAGCCAGGATTCAATTCCAGGCCAAGTCTGGTTTCAGAGTCCACACTCTAACCTACACAAGGCTATTCCATACCTCAGCTTTCTGTAATGTGGCCCCAATCCCTGCATCTCATTCATCTAGCAAACACCTCCTCATCTTTGAAGACTAACAGCATTCCTGCCTCTGTGAAGGCTCTTGTTGCTCCATGAGGTAGAGAGTCTCTTTCTACTGCATGTGAGAGGGGAGATGGAGACGCAGGCAAGTGGTAAAGATGGAGAGGTAACCAGGGCCAGGCAGGCGGCAGAGAACCTCTTCAAGGATAAAAGTCAAAGCAAGGTGCTTCGCTGGCAGCTGCTGCACTAGTCCAGGCAAGAATAGTGGGACCTCAATGATGGGTCACTGCAGTAATGTCCCTTTTAGCCCTACCTCTGACACCACGACATACACCATTTGTCAGCATTTTCATTAAAACCACAGTTCTGGCTGGGCACAGTGGCTCACGCCTGTAATCCTGGCACTTTGGGACGCCGAGGTGGGCAGATCACTTGAGGCCAGGAGTACAAGATCAGCCCGGCCAACATGGTGAAACTCCATCTCCACTAAAAATACAAAATTTAGCCAGGTATGGTGGTGCGTGCCTATAATTCAGCTACTCAGGAGGCTGAGGCATGGGAATAGCTTGAGCCTGGGAGGCGGAGGTTGCAGTAAGCCAAAACCGACACTGCACTCCAGCCTGGACAACAGAGCAAGACTCCATCTCAAAACAAGACAAAAGAAAGCAACCACATTCTTAGGTAAATGAAGGTAACCAAACATTATAAGACTCATTGCCATTGAATGTACCTGGCAATCAAGCCGTGAAAATGCATGCCAGATTTCCTAGATGAGGTAAAATTTCCCCTTATTTGCTAATCAGCACAGGTCAGAGTAAAAGGCCCAAGAGAGGTTTCCAGGCCAATGTGCCAGTGACCACCTAAATGGTCTTTCATCTTTTTTCCAAGTTCTCAGGAAAATGTAGCAATTGATAGATGTTTGTTGAATGAATAAATAAATTCTGTATGGCCACGTGACATTTTCTGGTATCTCAGTAGAAACATCAGTGCTGCAGCAGCAAGGTTCCTGTCCTTCTCAAACTTTCCCTCCCTCCAAACCAGGAGTCCGGCATTGCTATGGAGGGACATTACCCTTCCTTCATCATTGGAGATGTATACAGTGACATGATAATGTGTCATATTTATGTAAAGCTTTTACCCAAGCTGATTGTAAATCCTTTTAAATGGTTTGCTCCATCTCACGATAGTGCTGGGAATTGGGCATTATTACCATCTTCATTGTGTATGCTGAACCAGTTAGACCTGAAGGAAAGTTAATGACTTGCCCAAGGTCACCACATGTGATGCGCCTAGGCGACTTCTGAAGCAAGCTTCCTAACTCACAGGCTGGCCTGTTTCATCCTGTGTTCCTTCCCGTGCTCTCTGGCTCCTGAGGCCATTTGTGGCCGTGAACATCTGTGAGCTCTGGTCACTTACGTGTTTCCTGGTATCTGATACCCTTTCCCTCCCCACCAAGTACATTTCCAGTGTGACAATTACTCCATCAGCTACTTCAAGCAGGAGGATTTGAAAGGAGGGCTGCTATTTTCCATGAGTGCAATTATTCATGTGCACAAATAATGGTGCACATAATTGGCTAATGGAGAGTGCAATCGGCCACATGTGGGCATAATTAGCCACTTGCCCCTCATTTGGAGGGTATAATTATCAAAGCAGGCAATTTTATATCTGGGGATAATTGTACATGCAGGAGAGAAAGACGGCTAGGAAATCCAGTCCTTAGTTACTTTTCATGTCTTTTTATTTCCAGAAAAGCATTTTAAGGTAAAGGTAACCTTCTGATTTCAGTTGCCCATTTAGATCAACCATCAGACCTAGTCATGGAGAAAAGGCAGAACACAGAATGTAGGAAAGAATGAGCCAGGATCTTGTGGACCATCAGCTGAAGCCTGAATCTTCCTCGCCAGAAAAACCCCAGCAACCAATTACCCTGGACGTGACACCGAGGCCCACCTAGTGGTCAGCCATCTGCCTAGGCAGACAATAAAGCTCAATTTTTCTCCTTCTCCATTATTGTGTATCATTTTTGCTTTAGCAGTTTTAACATTTTCCTCACTTTGTGGTTTTATCATCTCAGAAATGCCAGTTGGCTTGGCACAGCAAGTGATTTTGTTCGCTGCTGGAAGTGGGTCATTTAAAATGCTTTAACAATACCTTTAACTAGTCATTCATCTGGGGATGTACATAGAATAATAAATCGAGAACACATCTCTTTGTGGTTGTTCCAAGACCTGAGATGGCAGAGATTTTACAGTCTCTGCTGTGCCCCCACTGCATTCTGGCTTCAGCAGCTCTGCAGAACTTTTCCCACTCTCCCACTCAATCACACAAAAATACACTTGCTAACAGCAGATCCTAAAAATACATGTCACATGCAAGCACAAGGGAAATTTTTTAAACATGAATTGACTCTTTAGGAATATGCAAGCTGCATTTAAAAAAAAAAAAAAAAAAAGGAACACCAAATCTCCTATTACACTATCCTTCATTTCCAGCAGAGTATTATCTTCTAGGGGAGGGAAAACAGCACAGTGACTGGGGAAACAAGCTGTTTGGAGTTAGAAGGACCCGAGTCCCTGGCTCAGCTCTGCCACTTGCCAACTGTGTGACCTTGAATAAGTTACCGAAACTTTCTGACCAAATTTCCCTATCTGTAAAATGGGTTGTTCTGAAGGTCAAAGGGAATACAGGTAAAGCACTTAATGCTAGGTGCATTGTAAGGACTCAGACAAGTGGGATCTATCATTAATATTAAGAACCTCATCTTTTTTTGTTTGTTTTGAGACGGAGTTGCCCAGGCTGGAGTGCAGTGGCATGATCTCAGCTCACTGCAACCTCCGCCTCCCAGATTCAAGCGATTCTCCTGCCTCAGCCTCCTGAGTAGCTGGGATTACAGGCGCCTGCTACCACGCCCGGCTAATTTTTGTATTTTTAGCACAGACGGTGGTTTCACCATATTGGCCAGGCTGGTCTTGAGCTCCTGACCTTGTGATTCGCCCACCTCAGCCTCCCAAAGTGCTGGGATTACAGGTGTGAGCCACTGCACCCGGCCCAAGAGCCTCATCTTTCAATCTCTAGCATAGCTTATCTGTACCAGGCACATGGCACTCTAGAGTACCTGTGTACAGCCTTTATTCTCCTCACCAAGTGGAGAGAAATGTTGTCTTACACATCTTTATAATGCACATGGCAAAATGCCCATAGAAAGTCTTCTATAATTGGCCATAAATGATGGTTCACAACATCATGTGACATCCCACAATGACATGTGCTGACCTTGAACACGATGTCACATTTGCTTCTATGGCTTCTAGACCTGAACTCCATCCTCCACCCTTTCCTCTATAGTCACCCTCAGAAATTGGTTACAGGGGTAGGGGTTGGGGGGTGGGGGGGTGACTTTCTAATCTCTGTTTTCACCTCTTCAGCTTCATGACCTCTGCAGTCACCTCTACTTCAGCTGCCTCAGCACAGCCAACCGCTAGACTTCATCGTCCCTCAGACCTGAGGCACCTTGAAATCTTGAGTTATCTTTGACCTTGTTGATTTCACCTTCTTTACCTTCCACCTTGCCTGGGAGCAAATGTGCCCATCTCCTTCCAACCCTGCTTTCAGTGACTGCTCATTTATAGCTTGAAACTGATCACAGTGGGAGTATTTGCACCACAGAAATAAGCAAATATGACAAATCAGGGTGGCCCCTCACCCCTTCACCCCCCTCCCCACCGCCAGGAGAGTCAGCTGTTAACCATTTTCCAGGACAATACTGCATGTATTCACGTGAGCCTCTATCATAACCCTAATCCCTGCACACCTAACCATTCTCCATCATCCCCCGTTGATTTCATTTACCTTCCTAGTCCTCCAATGTCAGCTCTTACTATGCTTAATACATGTCATACTGTTCCTCAGTCCCATGCCCTTTAATGGCCAACTGATACTTCTTTTCTAGTTTACACTTATGGGTAACCCCCATGTCCTCTTCCTCGATCCGTCTTTCCTCCTATTACCATCTCTCATCAACTTCTAATCAAGTTCCCACTGTTAATATTCTGAACCTTCAGCTCCTGGTGCCTGCACTGTGGGCAATATTTTAAATAGGATAGACTCCATTCTGTCCATATTTACTGTCAGATATCACATTATCTCTAAGAGACAGAGCGTTCGGGGGGAGAGGGAGAGAGACTGTATTTGTATGCAGGTCTTTTAATGGCTAGCCTACTTCTTCCCTTTTTAAACCCAGGTTTAATACTAATGTAACCCTTCAGGCAGTGAGTTACATGTGGCATTTAATGCTTTTTTTCACTCGTTTCAAAGTGGAATTCTTCACTGTGCGACACCACACGACCCTCTTAGTGTATCTCAGCCTTGAAGTGTTTACTAAATTGATATTGCTCTTCCCTGAAAGAAGCAAGTCGTAAATATTGTCTTGTTTAAAATTAAAAATCTACAGTGAAGTGCTTACCACAAGAGGAAGGTAGGAATGTTTCTCAAGGTTGTCTCTAACATACCTGCAATTGACATTCCATGTTCCTTGACTGAATGTTCATTGAACCCAGGCTGGAGTCGGAGGAGGCAGAGGAAAGAAGCCAGCCTGAGGGAAGAAGAAAGGTTAAAGAGAGACAGGAAGGAGGAAGGCATAAAAGAAAATAAAAAAGAATTATGTAGGGCACTGCACACTACTCTCTTTGACTGCTCTGCGCATGGGCAGAGACTGCAAACTGCTCTGAGAACCTTTGCCCCATACAATCCTCTTGGAAATTTGAGAGATTTTACACTAACCGAGATTCCTGGCTTTTTCTGAGAAATCTTCAGTACTGGCTACGCTGGGCCGCAGTTCTACACAGAAACACAGTTGGCTGGAAATGAGTAGCAGCTGTCCTTTAATGCAGGCATGCACTCCCCAGCTGGAAACCCACTCACCCATAATTGTTTTCCACCCAGCTAGAATCACTCACTTATGTTGTCAGCTGAGCCTCTGCAGGCATTTGAGTTTGTGACTTCTACGCTTCAGGAAGCCCTAGAGCTTACCCACATTTCTAAAATTTCCCAAAGTGATGGTTTATAGGAGACAGTGGAATCTCATGATTTTATTCATCTCTGAACTGCTGTAGTGCCTTATACAAAGTAGATGCTCAGTTAACTAGAACAAAGTGTTCACTGAATTAGATGGGTTTAACATCTGAGCAGATAGAGGCTCTAGGTGGACTTGCAAAAGCTCAGATGCACCACTGTTGCTGAGAGGTGAACAGCAGAACATTTTAGGCTCTGTCCTCTGGGTAAATGAGAAATCCCATTTAGCTACATGTATGGGACACTGGCCCCTTGAAGGGAACAAGTTAGAACCAGTACATTAGGGAAACTCGTTTTACCGACGGATTTATTATTGGATCAAAATTTTAGTCCTTAATAAAAGGACCAGAGCCCTAGTCATTTCATCCTGGTTAAGATAGTTTACTACTGTGGGCCTCCGTTTCCTCATTAGAAAAACAAGCGTTTATTGGTAGAGTGAATGTTCTACAGGCTTCCATTCTGGCTTCCTCCAGAAGAAGAGGTTGGTAAAATCCAGTTATCTCAGCATCTTCACAGCAACTGTCTTTATAATTAAGCTTGTTCATGACTTTAGAATAATTTTTTTTAATTTCTAAATTCCAACCAAAATAATCAACTTTGCTCTTCTGATGTAGAAAGGAGTGGGAGGTTTCAAGGTTAGTTTCTCACCCTCTTGACTTGTTCTTTATAACACCTGGCTTGAGTCAGTTAGGGCTCTGCGAGACTGTTGTTTTCTGAGCCATTTCCTTCAGCCTAGGCATAGTAGAAGTGAAAGGCCAGTGTGGAGATTAATGAAGGCCTGTGTTACAACACCTTCAAAGCATCTGCCTGCTCTCTAAGTCATGCACTGGCTAATTAGAGCAGAACAAAACTGGTGCCTTTCCTTTTTGGTTGAAAATTAAAAACCAAGAAGCTGTTTCTCTTTCTTTTGATGTGAACTGACACCCCTGTGCATATGAAGCATCTCCTGTATTGAAATGAAGGATAAAGAAAATACCAAGGTGCTAATTGAATTCATGTCTCCTCCTCTCCCAGAAGTCAGAAAAACAGAACTAACAAAGCAGTTTCAGTTCTTAGAATCTAAATAACCCAAATGGGCCCCTTCTCAAATGAAAATCTTTTGAAAACATCTGCAACTGTTGCCAATCAGATCTGATTTTGTGTACAAATTCGGTGTATTTTTCTGTACAGACTGCTTCTAGGGAGACAATTCCTAAAAAAAGAAGCAAGAATATTATTTTAGCAAATAATTTGGTTATCACATAGCCAATGACATAAAATCCGTGAGGGCTTAATTAAAAATTGCCGGAAACTTTCATGTCAAGTAAAAATAAGTGAACAAAGATGAATTTCTTAAATGAAGAGTACAGCCCATTAAGACAATTTCAAAGACTGTTTGTGTGTGTGTGTGTGTGTGTGTGTGTGTGTGTGATGGAGTTTTGCTCTGTCTCCAGGCTGGAGTGCAGTGGCACCATCTCAGGTCACTGCAACCTCCACTTCCCAGGTTCAAGCAATTCTCCTGCCTCAACCTCCTAAGTAGTTGGGACTGCAGGTGCATGCCACCATACCCGGCTAATTTTTTGTATTTTTAGTAGAGACGGGGTTTCATCGTGTTAGCCTGGCTGGTCTCAAACTCCTGACCTCAGGTGATCCACCCGCCTCAGCCTCCCAAAGTGTTGGGATTCTAGGCATGAGCCACTGTGCCCAGCCCATTTCAAAACTCTTGAATAATTTAAGTGTATTAGTTTAAAAATCTTATGAAATAGTTGTAATAAATAACTTAAATTTTCAATAGCAGCTACTACTTGTTGAATCCTTATTTCATATCAGACACTATCCTCAACAGTTTTCATAGGTTTATTCCTCCTTGAAGCCATCATTATTCCATCTTTCGTATGCAGAAAGAGAGGCTAGGAGAGGCTAAGTCATTTAAGGCCATTCAGTAAGTGGCAGCATTGGGATTTGGCTCCATCAAAGTCTATCAAATAGCAGATAAATTTAAAGCCCATGTATTCTCTTTAAATAATAAAAACATTCAAGATTATGAATTCAACAATAAGTACAGCTTTGACTACATCCCATATATTAAAAAATTCACTATTCTTATTTTCCTAATTGCTTATTACAGTTTTAATTTTTTTCTATTCAGACGTATGTCTTGAGGTCTTCAATTTTTTTAAATGTGTGTCTATAAGTTGTTACAGTATAAAGTTATCATTTTATTTATCATATATGTCTTGACTATTTCCTTCTACTTCTGAACATTTCCTGTCAAAAATCTGCTCTCCATCATTTCACATTCTGCCATTTTTGTTTCATTCTGGACAGGAGAAGTAACAGATGGTAGTAAATAATTAAGAGATGGTGAGAGGGTGTGAGGTTTAAATAGACTAAGAAATGAAGAAAACTGGTGTTTGTGTGGGTAAGGAAATTTACAAAATAACATAAAATAAAATATTTTAGAGGAAGTAGCATGGTAAGGTTTTAAGAATTCCCAGGTTTTCTAGTAGCTCTTAGTAAAAAATACTATAGCATTTTATTTATATATTCATGTGTTTAATTGCCAAAAACAATATCATGCTTTTCCAATCAAATCCATATCAAATCCTTGGAAGAACAACTGTTTAAACAAAGTTAGTGAGCGTTCTCCATAGCCACTATGAACACTATTGCTGAATTGTATGCATTTTTGCACTTGCCCATTTGCCTTTCTGTCTCTCTATTTACCTAGTGAGCAACTTAAGGAAAGCTACAGTGTCTCACATATCCTCATGGACCCTGTGCCTAGCACAGTGCTCAACACATAGTTGACACTTGGTAAATCCTCTTTGAATGAATAAAGACTTTTCCTGGAAATTCCTATTGAGCACTGTATTGGACTCCATGGGCTGGTATTGTTCAAGGTCCAGCACAAGTTTCTAGGTCTTTCTAGACTCCATGTGTTAAGCTGTGAGCATCCCTCACAGACCTGAGACCTGGAGATGGGTCAGTTTCCCTAGCCCTGGCCTGAACTACTTCCAGTTTCCTCCTCCTCTCCATCAATATCCCAGAAAGCCCATGCACAATGATGCATAAATTATATCAACTGTCTAGCTGCTCTGAAGACATCCTAAATGAGTGAATCTTGGACACCAATAAGGTGACAAGTTAGAAGCAAGATGTCAAAGGTGGGAGGTAGGCAGGAGGCAGTCAATTAAAAAGAAAGCTTGAAAACTTTCTGTAGATTGGCCAATTATGTTGAAAGGCAGTGGTAATCTTCGCCATATAAGTTAGCAGATGAGAAAATGGAGATAGAGGGTACAAAGATCTGTTCAAAAACCTTTAGCGCAAAGGGAAAGATAAAAATAGGATGTTCGCTAGTGGGAAAAACCAGGTCAAGGAAGATTTTTGTTTTTGGCTTTTAAGATGCTTGGTAACGACGCAGTAGACAAAATCTGGAGCAAAAGGAAGCTAAAGCCCCTCACCTTCAGAACTCACATTTAAAGAAGGCCATAATAATTTTAAAAGTGATTTGAAGTCAGCCATGACATAACCTTCAAAGATTGTAAGAACTCAGAAGGAGAAGCAAAGGCCTTAGAGAATGTGACTCTACAACTAAATGTCACTTTGACAGCTTTTTTCTTGGAGGTACATTTAAGATTATTTGAGTTGTCATTTTCTCTAGGAAGACTTCACTTTAATTATACAAATATTGAATATTTTTCAAGATAAAAATAGTAAAGAGTCTGCTTTGAAGTCTTCAGCCTTCAAACACTATTATGTGAAATCCTCATTGGAGAAACAGTGAGAAATATGGAAGTAAGTGCAATCAGGCTTCATAAATGAGGAACTGTGAATGTTAATGGTGTGGTTTTACCACAAAGCTTTTAAAGGGCCAACGGAAAGGCTTTATTATTTCAAATATCACAGATCTAAGGGCTCCCTAAGGGAATTAGTGATAAATATTGGTAAAATGACTATAAAGACAGCAAGGCAAAAATAAGCCAAAAGTTTGAACTGGCCATTTAAAAGCTGCCTAACCTTTCATTTAATTGCCTTTTTGCAGAAAACCAGAAATGAGATTTAAAAGCCAAGTGTGATGGGTTCTCTCGAACATGCTCTGAAATATCTGCTGTAAGGGGATTTAAAGTGCAATTGCTTTGCTCTCAGCGTGAGTGCAACCAACTGGGGAAAAATCGAATTTTGGTCTGCTGGTGGATTGTGGCCATGTGCATCTCTCGGAAGGGGTGGAGGTAGAATGGGAGGGAGGTCCTCAGGGGTGCAGCTGTGTGATGAGCAGCTTGGAATAGCAGACAGAGCAAGCACATGCACTTCAATGCTGTCCCTTCCATCATGTAGCGGAGCGATCCCACATAAGTTACCAAATCTTCCTGAGCCTCATTTCCCTCGTCTGTAAGATGATTATAGTAATATTTAACTTAGAAACCTATAGTTAGGATTAAAAGACAGAATTTATTCACACAACAAGTATTTGTTGGATACCACTACATGCCGGGCTCTGGGGATACAGCAGTGAATGAAACAGGCTGATATTTTAGTGTGGAAGACAGAAACGACGTAAGTCAATATCATCCCCTTCTCACATGAAATTGACATGAGACTCCTTCTCAAAAAAAAAAAAAAGGAGAGAGACACAGAGACATGGAGACATGAGGGGAATCCACTATGAAACAAGGTAGATGTTGAAGCGCTGCAAGCCAAGGGATGCCAGTGGTTGCCAGCAAACCACCAGATGCTACGAAGAGGAAGGAAGGATTCTCTCCTACGGATTTCAGAGGGAGCATGGCCCTGGCAGCACTTTGACTTTGGACTTCCAGCCATCAGAAATGTGAGAGAATTCATGTCTGTTTTTAGCTACCTGGTTTGTGGTCCTCTGTATGACAGCCCTGGGATACTAATCCGGGGTCCTTCTAGAAGTGAAGGAACTCCACCCCTGCTCCCTAAGACAGGAGTCCCCCACTCCATGGCCATGGACCAGTACCAGTCTGTGACCTGTGAGGAACTGCCCCACAGCAGGAGGTGAGTGGCCAGCTAGCAAGCAAAGCTTCATCTGTATTGACAGCCACTCCGCTCCCATCGCTTGCATTACTGCCTGAGCTCTGCCTCCTGTCAGAACAGCAGTGGCATTGGATTCTCATAGGCACGCAAATCCTGTTGTGGCGGCACATGAGGGATCTAGGTTGTATGCTCCTTATAAGAATCAAATGCCTGATGATCTATCACTGTCCCCCATTTCCCCAGATAGGACTGTCTAGTTGCAGTAAAACAAACTCAGCGCTCCCACTGATTCTACATTATGTTGAGTTGTATAATTACTTCATTGTACATTACAATGTATTAATAATAGCAATAAAGTGCACGATAAATGTAATGTACTTGACTCATCCCAAAACCATGTCCCCCACCCCCTGTCACTGATCCATGAAAAAATTGTCTTCCACAAAACCTGTCCCTGGGGCCAAAAATGTTGGGGACCACTGCCCTAAGATTCTAAATGAACCCTGTAGTTGATAAAACAAAAAATATCCTTGAAATAAAATTTCTTGAATAAGGAGAGTATCCAGAATGGCAACCCAGTTTGTGTACAGCTCTAGAGGAGAATCGGTTCAGTGAGCATGTGGCCCAAGCTGGAAGCTTCCATAGATTCAGCCACTTCAATGCAGTGGTGCTACTGTGGGAGAAAAGGGCTGACGGACATAGGAACTAAAAAGGGTTTCCCAGGACTCATAATCAGCTGGTACTCTCTGCAGCTTTACCAGTTGTTTATGACTTGGGTTCATTTTGATTATTCAATGCCCATGCCATACCAATATTGCAATAGTTTGCTATCAGGCCTGCTGTAACTTACAAGCTAGACATGGAACACAAATGCCGCCCGAGGAGGAAACTGATCCAGCAAGAATACACAATGGAGTGAACAAATGAGGTGGACTGCATTTATGTCCCCCTAGAATCATATGTTGAAATCCTAAACCTTAAGGTGATGGTATTGGGAAATGGTGCCTTTGGGAGGTGATTCAGTCCTAGGGGCAGAGTCCTCAAAAATGAGATTAGTGCCCTTATGAAAAAAACCCAGGGAAGGCTCTTGCCCCTTCTGCCATGTGCAGACAGAGTGAAAGGTCATCAGCCATCTATGAGCAAATGGGCATTCACCAGACACCAAATCTGCCAATGTCTTAATCTTTGACCTACCAGCCTTCAGACCTGTCAGAAATAAATTCCTGTTATTTATAAGCCACCCTGTCTATGGAATTTTGTTATAGCAGCTTAATGGACTAACGCAAGAATCTGAAGCTCTACAGAGGACCAATTTTCAACAGTGACAGCATGAAGATGATAGTGGCTCCTGTTATTTCTCTCCTTGATAGAAATAAGACCGTTACCTTATGGAGCAAGTAAGTGCCTAGATTGAGAAAAGGAAGTTCTCAGGAAGACACTGGACTTCTTGCTAATGAGGAAAAGTGGGAATTCAAACAATTAATGAGAAAAGTCAGAGAGATTCTGTTCTATTTGTAACCTAAGTTGAAAAAGCACATGAAAGTGGCAAACAACACAGTGAACAAAACTATCTACATGCTTGGCTGCAAAGGATGAAGTGTTCCAGGAATTATAGATGAGGATATCTATTATTGGAAGATTAAAAAGATATTTTCTGAAACCCGTACTCCAGTTTGCTGAACCAAATCTCTGAGTGGACTTCAAATGAAATCTGCTTTCTACATAAGTAAAGCTATTACTCAGAATCAACCAAGAGCAAAAGAGCCACCTTACAGCAATGGAAACTGGTCATCTGTTTCCACATAGAACTAAATTCAGAAAAATATCCATTTCTCAGCAACAGCTTGTCATCAGCTTTAGGTTCTGCTTGGAAAAAGCCAAGTGATGCTTCTCAGTCCAATATTACATAGATATAACGTGGATGCTGTAGCCACTTTTCCATGAACAAACAGACAAGCCAGCAAACGTATGATTAAAGAAGTTATTTGCATCTCTTGAGTACTCCAGATTGGCATGGCAGTACTTACATATTCATGCCACAGGTTTCAGCTGGGTTCTTGGTGGGATCTGTGGGTGCTGTGTTTGAACACAATGATATACACTCAGTAAGTGCTCGAAGAACACTTACTGTTGATGTTATTGAATGTGTAGAGGCGCTGTGACAATCCTCAGGGTGGTGGGAAATCACTATGATTTTCCTATGCGCAAGAAAGGATCATAACTTTAGGAAGAGTGACAAAAGGTGAAAAGGCACCAACTGGGAATCCAAATCCTACAGTCAGGACCTGGCGGGTTATGCTCCATTTCTTTGCTGTGTCCTTGTTTGAGGTGTTGATGACCCAAGTTTTCCATTTGTATAATGAGCATAGCAGCCCTTCTTGACTCCAGAATACTGGAAGCCTTAATAAATTAATGTCTTTGGTGTGAATTCATCAAAATAAAGGTGCAAAAAAGTGAACAATAGAAAAAGTGAAGAAGGGTTACTCACCATTTCTACTTCCTTGGATACTGCCAAATAAATAGATAATTTGCTTTTTTCTATGTATTATTCTTGTATTCCCCCTCCTTTTCCTGATCTCATTCTTTTCTCTTGATCTCTTTTACATGAACACACATACACGACTGACTATACATTTTTTTTTCTCATTTTGACAGAAACTTATAGTGACTCCCTCCAGAGTGAGACTATAGGAAAACAGATTTGGCTAGGCATTCAATAGTTGTCTAGCCATTGCTTTCTATGGATAAGGTACTGTGTTCATTACTATGTGATATCTGAATCTCATGTGAAAACTGATCCCTAATGTTGGAGGTAGGGCCTGGTGGGAGGTGTTTGAGTCATGGGGGCAGATCCTTCATGAATAGCTTGGTACATTCTTGCTCTATTATTTTTTTAATTTATTTTTATTTTTTGAGACAGGGTCTCACTCTGTTGCCCTGGCTGGAGCGCAGTGGCACAGTCTCAGCTCACTGCAACCTCCGTCTCCTGGGTTAAAGTGATTCTCCTGCCTCAGCCTCCTGCGTATCTGGGACTACTGGTACACATCACCAGGCCCAGCTCATTTTGTATTTTTCATAGAAATGGAGTTTCACCATGTTGGCCAGGCTGGTCTTGGGCTCCTGACTTCATGTGATCCACCTGCCTTGGCCTCCCAAAGTGCTGGGATTACAGGCATGAATTATCATGCCCAACCTCTTGCTCTATCAGTTCCCACAAGAACTTATTGTCGAGAGAGAATGGCACCTTCCTTTCTTCCTTCTCTTTTTCCTCCTCTCTTGACATGTGATGCCTGCTACCATGGGTGGAAGCTTCCTAAAGCCCTCACGTGAAGCAGATGCAGGTACAATGCTTCTTATATAACCTGCAGAACTGTGAGTCAAATAAATCTCTTTTCCTAATAAATTCTCCAGTCCCAGGTATACCTTTATAGCAACACAAACAGACTAAGACACTACGAAAGATAGAAAGATGTTTAGAGCATCATTTTTGCCTTTAAGGAGTCTAAAACCCTTGGGGGCACATGAGATATGAACACAAATAATGAAAAGCAAGCACGTGTGCAATAAATGCCAAAAAGATTCGTGAAAATGAGTTCTTAGACTTCTAGGAAAAGGAAAGCTCTTTTTGAAATGGAATGGAGGTGCTGAGCTTCGAGCTAGGTCTTTAAAGTTGGATATAGAATTCAACTCAAGACGATGAGTACAGGACATTCCAGAAAATGGTTTATTTTGTTGCTGTTGTTGTTTTTTTTTTTGACAGCAAAGCGAAAATCTTTATTTAGACAGAAAAAGATAATGATGTGAGCAAAGGCACGGCAAGGTGGCAAATCTGATGTCCACTGATGACAACTAGTAGTCTAATTTGGTTAAAAAGTGTGTTGTCTCAAGAAGAGAAAATCAAACACCGCATGTTCTCACAGGCCAGTGTTGAACAATGAGAACACAGGGACACAGCAAGGGGAGCATAACACACTGGGGTCTGTGTGTGTGATGGGGGGGAAGGGAAGGGACAGTGTGGGGAGGGAAGTTGAGGAGGAATAACATGGGGAGAAACGCCAGATATAGGTGATGGGGAGATGGAGGCAGCAAACCACACTGCCATGTATGTACCTATGCAACAATCCTGCATGACCTGCACATGTACCCCAGAACCTGAAGCACAATAAAAATATATATAAGGTGGGTTGTCTGTAGTTGGCTGGTAGCATATCTAGCTAAAATGTCAATTAAGGTTTGATTAAAGAGGCCATTAAATGTCTAGCCAATGCTAAAGTAGTAGTTTTAAACCTTTTTATTTTTTAAACATTCTGATGCAGACTGGGTCCGGTTGCTCATACCCTCAATCCCAGCATTTTGGGAGGCCGAGGCAGTTGGATTGCCTGAGCTCAGCAGTTCACGACTAACCTGGGCAACATGGTGATACGTCGTCTCTACCAAAATACAAAAAACTTTAGCCAGGTGTGGCGGCATGTGCCTGTAATCCCAGCTACTTGGGAGGCTGAGGCAGGAGAATCACTTAAACCCAGGAGGCAGAGATTGCAGTGAGCTCAGATTGCATCACTGCCCTCCAGCCTGGGCAACAGAGCGAGACTGTTTCCAAAAAAAAAAAAAAATTATTATGCAATGGGAGCACAACTGCTCTGGCTAAAATGCTTCCTCCCATCATACTCACAAACTCTGATGCTCTTAAGGAGTTCCATGGAACCCTAGGACTCTACAGAGAACTCTGCTAAAAAATGCATTCTTTTCTACCTCCCCCCAACAGAGATAGGACCTTGTTCTGTCACCCAGGATGGCATGTAGTTTGTGCCATCATAGCTCACTGCAGCCTCGAACTCCTGGGCTTGAGGGATCCTGCCACAGCCTCCGGAGTAGCTGTGACTACAGGCATGCACACTAAGCTTGACTAATTTTGCGGGTTTTTTGGTAGAGATTGTGTCTTCCTATATTGCCTACCTTATCTGAAACTCCTGGCCTCAGCTTCCCAAAGTGTTGGGATTACAGGGTTGAGCCACCACATCTAGCCAAGAAATGTATTTTGCATAGGCAAGGTGCAGCCATTAAATGTTTTTCGTTGTTGTTTTGTTTTAAGACAGACTCTTGCTGTCTCCTAGGCTGGAGTGCAGTGGTGAGACCTTGGCTCACTACAAACTCCACCTCCCGGGTTCAAGCGATTCTCCTGCCTCAGCCTCCTGAGTAGCTGGGGACCACAGGCAAATGCTACTGCAACTGCTTAATTTTCGTGGGTTTTTCTTTTCTTGTAGAGACAGGGTTTTGCCATGTTGGCCAGGCTGGTCTGGAACTCCTGACCTCAAGTGATCCACCCACCTTGGCCTCCCAAAATGCTGGATTACAAGTGTGAGCCACCGCACCTGGCATATTAAACATTTTTAAGCTTGGCGATGACAAAATTAGAATAGAATATTCTGAAGATATACCTGGCATTGACAGCACTGTTGAACTAACTGGCAAGGGACAAACTGAAAACAGAAAAACGAAGAAATAAAAATACACTGAGCAACTGTTTAGTATTTAGTAGGCACTGAGAAAGCACAGTTGTCCCTCCATAACCACGGGGAATCGGTCCCAGGATGCCCGTGAACAAATCCCTTCACAGCTGCTCAAGTCCCTTGCATAAAATGGTGTACTTTAAATCATTTCTAGATTATAAGATCTATATACTGACATGTAAATGCTGTAGTTACTATACTGTATTGTTTAGGAAATAAAGACAAGTAAAAAATTTGTTCATATTCAGTATGGATGTTTTTTCTTCAAATATTTTCTATCTACAGTTGGTTGAATTCAAGGACACAGAAGCCACAGATACCAAGAGCCAACTGTTCTTGTTGGATAAATGATAATAGCAGGGAGGGAAATATGAAAAGATATTATCAAGGAATTATTGATAACACTTGCTACTAATTGATTATGGGAGACCAGAGAGAGGTTGTGGTGAGAAATTCAAGGTTTGAAGTCTGGGCTCCTGGGAGAAGGGCAGGAGCACTAATTAGAAATAAGAAAAGCTTAAAGAGGAACTGATTTGATGGGAAAGATTATGTGTTAGATATTCAGCAGGTTAAATACATTGGAGGGCTATTCAATTGGAAATGTTTAGGGACATTTGGAAACAGGAGACTGGAACTTGAGAGAAAGACCAGAGTTATTGACACAGATGCAATAATGTAATCAAGACCCATGAGTGGATGAGAAGGCATAGAGAAGTCAAAGAGGTGGGGGCAGATTCCGGGAAACAAGGTCATTTAGGGGATGGGATGGGGAAGGGAAGTGAAAAAGATAGTGGAATGTTTAGAGAGGAAAAAGAAAACCATGATCGTTAGTCATCAAAACCAAGTGAGAGACACTTTAAAGGAGGTAGCGACCCACGCAGTCAATGGCTTCGAAGGCATAAGAAGAAACGGAATTAAGAAAAGGTGACGGTATTTTGGACTTATCAGCTACCCTCAAAAGAGCAGTTTCAAGTAGTAAGGAAAAAAAAGAGGTCTGGTTATACCGGTCTGAGGAATAAAAAGATGGGGAAGAGATGGAAATAATGATATAGGGCAGGTGTTATGTTTGGCTGTGTCCCCTACCCAACAAGTCTCATCTTGAATTGTAGCTCTCATAATCCCACGGGAGGGACCCGATGGGAGATAACTGAACCATGGGGCAGTTTACTCCATATTGTTCTTGTGGTTGTAAGTCTCACAAGATCTGATGGTTTTATAAGGGGAAACCCCTTTCACTTGGGTCTCATTCTCTCTTGCCTGCTGTCAGGTAAGACCAGCCTTTCGCCCTGATTGTGAGGCTTCCCCAGCCACATGGAACTGTGAGTCCATTAAACCTTTTTCTTTACGAATTATCCAGTCTTGGGTATATCTTCATCAGCAGCATTAAAAAAAGACTGATACACCAAGCTTTCAAGAATTCCAGCAATAAGCAGAACAAGGGAATCAAGCAGTAACTAGATTGCAGGAAACTTTTTTGCATTTCCTAAGGCCTGAAAGAATCCCGAGCATGTTTCTAGGCAAATAGACAAAGAAGACAGAGTCAACAGAAAAAAAAAAACCGATGGTGAAAAAAAATTAGTCGTTAGATTTTCTGAGTGATCAAAGCCATACTTATCAAAGTTGAAGATATGCTCAGCGAAAACAGAGTGCCTGAAATTTGAACATAAGTCTCATAAATGGACAATTACTGCATATAAGGCTGTGGCTTAAGAAGTCCCATGAAATATGCTTTACCTGGAAAAATGCTCCTGTGTACCCAATTCATCATCTGGCAGGAGGCTAAGCAGCAGTTCTTTCAGTCGGCACCGAAAACAGAGTTTATTACCTTGAAACATTGTTATGGGCCATCATAACATTAGGTTGTTTGTATAAGTGATTGAAAATATTGAGCTGTAATTTCAAGGAAATTATGCTAAAGTCCTCAGGCTCTGCAGAAAGTAGATTACAAGTCAGTCCAGCCAAGAGGAGCCTAAGCAGACAACTAAATGAAAACTGAATGGGTTTCTGGAACTGAAAAATGACAGTAGGTAAAAACGAGGAAAATCTGCATAAAGCATGGACTTTAGTAATAATAATGTCTCAATATTAGCTCATTAATTGTTTTCTTTTCTTTCTTTTTGTGGGGGGGGGGCAGAGGTGGATTTTCACTCTGTCTCCCAGGCTGGAGTGCAGTGGTGTGATCTCAGCTCACTGCAACCTCCACCTTCCCGGTTCAAGCAATTCTTGTGTCTCAGCCTCCTGAGTAGCTGGGAATACAGGCAACTAGCACCATACCTGGGTAAATGTTTTGTATTTTTAGCACAGATGGGGTTTACCATGTTGACCAGGCTAGTCTCAAACTCCCGACCTCAAGTGATTCACCCACCTCTGCCTCCCAAAGTGCTGGGATTAGGAGCCTGAGCCACTGTCCCCACCAGCCCTGGCTTATTAATTGTAACAAATGTACTGAACTAATGTAAAATGTTAATTATTGCAGAAACTAATGAAGATGTTAATAATTGCAGAAACTGAGGTATACGGGAACTCTCTGTATTATCCTTTCAAACTTTCTGTAAATCTAAACATTTTCTAAAAAAAAAATACAGTCTGTTAAAAACAACAACAAAAAATAAACTTGAAAAGCCCAATCCTAACAACAAGGCATAGAAACTACACCTGAACTCCAGCCATTTTCATTCTGTAAGCAAGTAGTGTAAAACCGTATGGACGACCAGAGAAGAAGGGGGGTTTTCACTGGCAGCCTGTGCACTTCCTGATACCGTCTTTTTCTGGCTTGAGACTTGCTTATTAAAGTGAGATCTGATCACACTCTCTCTGTTTTGGCTACTGGGAAATGCAGAATCTGAGCTGTGGCCCACTTTTGGCAACGTTGGTGGTAGTGCATGCATTCACTTAGTGCAGCAATTGGGTGCATGGGCTTCCAGAGCCAATGATTAGGTTCAAATCCCGGCTTCACCAGGGTAGCTGTGGAATCAGCCCAGTGGCTCAGCCTCTCTGGCTCTATTCCTTATCTGTAAATGGAGATGATAGGTGCCTGCCTCAGATGGTTCCTTGGGGATGAAATGAGGTAATACACATAAAGTGCTTAGCACGGGCTCACGGTAAGAGCTCAGCAAATGTTGGCTCTTTATTTGGGGTGTTTCGTGTATTAGTCTTATCCCTTATGTTATTCATTTACCAGCCCTCATTTTGTTTTTCCTGTGTCCCAATTTCCTCATTTCTAGGCTCCATTTCCTTTATTTTCTCCTTTTGATATAGATTGTGAAGCCACTTTGAGTCTTTAACCGTACTAATCTTCCCTTGGCTAACTGACAATCAATCGTATAACTACTAATACTTTCTTACTGGTAGTTTTTAGAACACAAAAATATACACATCTTATGCATGGCTGATGTTAAGATGTGGTTCTGGACCTTGAGGTTTAGGATTGCATTTTAATATAATTTTAAAGTGTGTGTGTGTTTGTATTTTCTCAAAGAAACTTAAAATCAGCCCATTGCAGAAAATAGTTAACATCAGCAAAATGTATTATTTTGCTAGGCTAAGCCAAGATGATTTTGATATGCCCAAAAGTTTCCATATAAACTATATCTCTTGGTTCAATAAGCAAGTTCAATCATAAAACTCCATACAAGTATAGTTTCCTAATTTTGGTGTTAATGGATGTCAGAGGCAGCTCAATTTTAATTGTAACCCCTATGCAAAGAACTGCCAGTCTCCTGGTGTTTCAGGTGTAACTGTTCACTTTTTCTTTTTTGAGACAAAGTCTCACTCTGTCACCAGGCTGGAGTGCAGTGGTGCAATCTCGGCTCACTGCAACCTCCACCTTTCAAGTTTAAGCGATTCTCCTGGCTCAGCCTCCCAAATAGCTGGGACTACAGGCACATGCCACCACGCCCAGTTAACTTTTTGTATTTTTAGTAGAGATGGGTTTTCACCATGTTGGCCAGGATGGTTTCAATCTCCTGACCTCGTGATCCACCTGCCTCAGCCTCCCAAAGTGCTGGGATTACAGGTGTGAGCCACCGTGCCCAGCCAAGTATTCACTTTTATAGGTTGTCAGGACGAGGCCACTTATTTTTTAAATCTGAGAGACTCCTACATTGAGTGGGGAGAATGAGTTCATCATTTTATAAGCCAAGTCCCATATTAATGCTCCTTCAGGAAATCAATGCAAAATTTCTGGACATAAATAATTTTTAGAATAATTTTTAAGTGGTTTGAAAAACTGGGTACGTTTTATAGACTTGCATCTTTATTTGGTTGGTGGCATGACTGGTTCCAGCAGATATCCTTAGAAAAAATTTTTTAAATGTAGTTAGCATACACAGAAACTTTTTAGCTGTCTCCAACTCATTTAGTATAAGAAATAAGCTGCCAGGCACAGCAGCTGACACCTGTAATCCTAGCACTTTGGGAGGCCAAGGTGGGTGGACTGCCTGAGTCCTGGAGTTCAAGACCAGCCCAGGCAACATGACAAGATCCCATTTCTACTAAAAATGCAAAAATAAAAATTAAAAAAAAATAAATAAATAAACCAGGCATGGTGGCTCATGCCTGTAATAAAAAATCCAAGCACTTTGAGAGGCTGAGGTGGGCGGATCATGAGATCAGGAGTTTGAGACCAGCCTGACCAACATGGTGAAACCTTGTCTCTACTAAAAATACAAAAATTAGCTGGGCATGGTGGCTCAGCTACTCAGGAGGCTGAGGCAGGAGAATTGCTTGAACCTGAGAGGTAGAGGTTGAAGTGAGCTGAGATCGTGCCACTGCACTCCAGCCTGGGTGACAGAGCAAGACTCCATCTCAAAAAAAAAAAAAAAAAGCCAAAAAATTAGCCAGAGGTGGTGGCATGTGCCTGTAGTCCCAACTAGTTGGGAGGCTGAGGTGAGAGAATCGCCTGAACCCAGGAGATCAAGGTGGCAGTGGGCAGAGATCGGGTTGCCACATTGCAGCCTGGACTACCATTGTGAGACCCTGTCTGAAAAAGAAAAAAAAAAAAAAGAAATGAGATAAGGAATAAACTTATTTCTTCCCCCAATTACTAGACAATTATTGCAATACCAATTATTACAAGATCAATTTTTTTCCCCACTGGTGCCACCTTTATTTTATATCAAATTACTTGGTGCATTTGCAGATCCGCATTCCTGGACTTGATGTCTGTCTCATTGATCTGCTGGCCCATTTCTGCACCAGCTCTGATTTAATTATTGGTGCTTCATAATACATTTTAATATTTTGCATTTTTCTTTCCAGCAATTTGATTTAACATTTCTTGGGACTGGCTTGCTTTTCTGGGAAGGATTTAGAATGTTGGAGATGGGTCAGAAGCATATTTTAAACCTTCTACAGCATAAGCTCCTTTTTAACAGAGAAGCTTTTCCTTTTCTTTTGCATCTAGAACAATTGTAATTTTAGACAATCAGTAGTAAGGAACCTTGCATGTTCTTCCAGTGAGCTCCTGCTCTCTTTCACTCGTTCTGTCTTTGTATCTTAATCATATTAAAGCTGAGCCTCAAACACTTCTTAGTTTGGAGGAGATCAGCAACCATTCCAGTTAGGCACAGCATCTGCTATGCGTTTGGATTTCATTCAGTCTCCCTTTAATTTTACCCACAGTTCTCTTTACTCAGAAGGATCAGACCAATTTCTCTACAAATGTTATTCCATAGACGTACAAGACTATACACAGTATCTATTTTCTCTGATGTTGCTCTTCCAACTCATAGGTCATTTATTGTTTTTTTTTTTCTCTTTCCTTTTTTCCTTCCCTGTCAGCTTTTAATTAAGAGAAGTGTATCTTTTCATTGGTTAGTATACTGCATAATTTATGCTTACATTTTTAACCATTAATTTTTAGCTCTTTTACTAATTTTTTTATTCAGTAAAAGGTAAGTGGCTTCCAAGTCTTTCCTTTTTCAACAGAGAAGAGCAAGGGGCAGACATTACAGCATATTCAGAATGGGCTCCAAAGACTGAAGCCCTAAAGGTAGGAAAGTAGGAAGAAAGGAAGGAAGGAAAGGGAGAGGGAACAGAGAGGGAAGGGAAAGGGAGGGGAGGGGAGGGAGAGTGTGAGGGAAAGGGAAGGGAAGGGAAGAGGGGAGAGTGAAGGGAGGGAGAGGGAAGGGAGAGGAGAAGGAAGGGAGAGGGAGAGGGAGAGGGAAAGGGAGGGGAAGGGAGGGGAGGGGAGGGAGAGGGGGAGAGAGAGGAAAGGGAGGGAGAGGGAAGGGAGAGGGAGAGGGAGAGGGAAGAGAGAGGGAGAGTCAGAGGGGAGAGGAGGGAGAGGATGAGAGAGAGGGAGAGGAAAGGGAAGGCAGGAGTGGGAGAGGGAAAGGGAAAGGAGGGAGAGAGTGAAGAAGAGGGAGAGGGTGAAGAAGAGGGAGAGAGAAAGGAAAGGGAGAGGGAGAGGTAAGGGAGAGGAAGAGGGAAGGGAGGGAGAGGGAAAGGAGAGGGAGAGGAAGAGGAAGAGGGAAGGGGAGGGGAAGGAGAGGCTGAGGGAGAGGGAAAGAGGAAGGAAAGGGAGAGGGAGAGGGAAGGGAAAGGGATAGGAAAGGGGGAGAGAGAGAGGGAAGGGAGAGAGAGGGTGAGAGAGAGAAACGAGAGGAGAAGGGAGGGGAGGGAGAGGGTGAGGGGAGGGAGATGGTGAGGGAAAGGAAAGGGAAGGGAGAGTAGAGGGAGGGGGTGAGGGAGAGGAAGAGAAGGGAAGGGAGAAAGTGAGAGGGAGAAGAAGGGAAGAGAGAGGGAGGGAGAGAGGGAGGAAAGGGAGAAAGTGAGAGGGAGAAGAAGGGAAGAGAAAGGGAGGGAGAGAGGGAGGGAAGGAGGAGGGAGAGAGGGAGGGAAGGAAGAGGGAGGGAGAAGGGAGGGAGGGAGGAAGGGAGGGAGGGATGCAGGGAGGCAGGCAGGCAGGCACTGTGCTTTCCATGTTGGATGGCTGCCCGACAGAGTCAATCCTCTACTGGAGGAAGACGGACGTTCCATCTGCTTTCTTCTTTCTGCAGGGAAAGGCCCTTGTGTTTCACCTTGCAGGAAGGGTTGACTTCTCAGCACATTTGCGTGCTCCAAACTCGAAGCCTAAGAGAAGGAGAAAAGGCAACCTGGCAAAGATGGAAACATCCTTAAGTCTGAAGCCTTTCTTGCAAAAGCTGCCAGGATGGAGTCAGTGGCCCCGAGTCCTTCCAGGGATCCAGTTTCTGAGCAGGAGATGGGGGTGACAGCCTTTTGCAGGTTGGTGGGATTGCTCTGCAGAGAAGAGGACCTGGCAGGCTTTTAGGGCCTGAAGGTGGTCAAACTTCAATGCCAATAAATGGGTGTGGAAAAGGCAGCCCTGGGGAACCACAAGAGTTGACGTGGAGTTCCTCTATCAGCTGGCAGCTCAGAGGCTGTTTCCTCTAGAAAGCCCTCCCTGGCCCCTGGTCTGGGTAAGGCAGCTCCGAGCTCCTGCAGCTGCAGCCTCCATCTCTGTGTGGATGAAGTTTCATTAGGCATAGCTCTTCATCCCTCCTCTGTGCTTCCTGGCCATGGACAATGTGTGCTTCACCTCACAACCCTTTGGAGCCTAAATCCAGGGACCCTATCACCCATTGCTAAGAAAGGTCCTCCTTCCTTCCAATTTTTGCTATGCACCCATGTCCCTGTTGGGTACATATTATCTTACAGTGCTGTGCTTGGTCATTGCTTTCAGGAAGAGAGGAGTCAGCATGTTCTGCGGAATGTTACGAAGAATCAAAGCAGTTGACGGTTTGTCACTGGCATGCAGTCAAAAGATAAGACACATTGGAGAAGGAATCTGTTAAAAGCTCTTTATTATAATAGCCAATTAGACCTAGAATGGAGTAATAGACCAGAAGCTGAATGACAAGAAGTGAAGACTATTCAATAAAAATTAGGCATAAGATAAATTCTGAGTTAGAGAAATGAATAATTTGAAAGAAATATAACAGCTATATTGAACACATTTTTGTAGGAATAAGAAAGGAACCAGAGAATTTTCCAAAGATATTTGATTGTTAAAACCCTACTTAAGTGTACTACTTCCAAAATGAATAAGAAGATAGAAATGAAAGCTTGAGTAACAAAATATAAGATCTGAGAAAACAGGCTGGGCACAGTGGCTCACACCTGTAATCCCAGCACTTTGGGAGGCTGAGGCAGGTGGATCACCTGAGGTGAGGAGTTTGAGCCTAGCCTGGTCAACATGATGAAACTCTGCCTCTACTAAAAATACAAGTTAGCCAGGCATGGTGGTGCATGCACCTGTAATCCCAGCCACTCTGGAGGCTGAGACAGGAGAATTGCTTGAACCTAGGTGGCAGAGGTTGCAGTAAGCCATGATCGCAGCCACTGCACTCAAGCCTGAATGACAAAGTGAGACTCTGTTTCCAAAAAAAAAAAATCTGAGAAAACAATCAAATACTTCTCTGAAGAATTTCCACACTGAAGCAGCCTCTCTTTTGTCACAAATAGCTAAAAATCTCCTTATACTGGGTTCTGAAGCATTTTCATGGGTCGTGATCTGGGAGTTACTGTATATGGCATCATAAATGCAATTGTTGACAAACATTTTTTAAAAGGAGAAAAGCATATCCATCCTACCAGGTTTGTGAAGGAATAAAGACTTAAAGGCCAACCCTTCAGCTACATCCATACACGGGGCTCGTATTCTGCACAAAGAGCCTATTAACTTTCACATATTTAGGATCCCCAGTCAGAGCTTCCAGCTTCTTGTGCAAACTCTGGTTGGGCAATGCTCAGTGACCCATTCCAGCACCTACTGTCCCACCTGGGAAAAGGTGGTCACTGAGATAACTGCGGCGATTGTTGACTGACACAGTTCCGCTTGTAACAGAACTGAGTTGATTAATTACACTCCTCAGTTCATGGCACATTTTTATTGTTACTCCTTCCAATTCCTACTCTTGTTTCATGTATTCATTTAGGTTCCATTCCAGCTTTCTGACTTTTATTCAGTTGCATGGGGTCACTGAAAATGTGGATCTTGCTCTGAAGCTCTCTAATTTCATGTTCAAAGCACAAAGCTTGGGCCTTGGCTGAGCAAACAACATGAAGAGGCACCATGGCAACCTTGGCTTCCATAACATTCTTCTTTCAGGAGAATGAATGTGGATGCCCAATGCCTTGTTGGAGCTCCTTTGAATACGAGGTGATTCCAAAGAATCATCTGCCGTTTGACCCAAAGGAACGTGACTGCCAGAGAGAAGAAAGGCAACTGAGCTGAGAAAAGCGTAAAGGCCAGGAAATGAAGCAGTAAGCGCTGCTAGAGCAGCAGCCCCTGCATACGATGAGCAAGCTCTCTGACCGTCGCACATGGGTATCCAACTCCAAGGAATCCCCTATTATAGTTCTGATTTCTCTCACTCAGTTTGGGGATTTGAAATCGAGCGGCCAATTCTGTGTTTACCTTGGTAGTAATACTCCTGCATATACAATAGTGTCAGGAAGTGAGCATTGTTACAAGCAGAACACTTGGTGGAGGAATGTATTATCAATCCTATAATAGATAAAAGAACAACAATCCCAGATTCATTTTCTTGCTTTCCTGAAAGAACGGAGAATTGCCGGTAACCTTGAGGAAGGAAGGAAACAAGCTTTGCTGAAGCTGGGCTCATTTTCAGCTGTCAGTGGAAAAACACGAGGCTGCACGTCTCCACTGAAAGTCCCAGGCTCGGCCAGGAGTTGTTTTCCAGCTTCTTGTTACCTTTCAAATCCAGATATTTTTGATTTCTTCTTTTCTGCTGTGCCAGCACTGACGGAGCTAAGTGAGAGAGTTTGTACCACGAAGGGGCCGCAATTATGCACCGTGTCACCACCGGACGTGCAGATGGAGAATGTGCAGGGCGCCTGCTGCCAAGGGGCCAGAGTGTGCTTTTGCAGACGTGATCATAGCGGCTTTCAGCGCATCTTGCCTTCAATCAGTGGACAAAAAAGGGCAGCTGACTCTCTGCTTGCAAGGGATAGTAACACCATAAGAAATCACATTTTTTTGGTGTCAGTTTCCTACCTTGCCCTAATTACATAGATGAAATCACATGTTTAAAACTGACTTTGCAATTTAGCTCTGAAGTCCAGAAAGGCTACCCAGGGAGCACTGTGCCTTTTTTTATACTCATTTTTTGATATGTTAAATCACCTAGAAAGCTGGAGGAAAAAGCTCCCCTGCCCGAGCAAGTGCACGGAGGGTGCCACCTGAAGGACAGTCCAACATTCTAAAAGTGAAAGCAAGTGCAAGATCTAGGAGTAATAATAACAATTATTATATTTCTATTTTTAACATCAGATGCAGTGAGTTGATTAATTACACTCCTCAGTTCATGCACATTTTTATTGTTACTCCTTCCAATTCCTACTTCATGTATTTATTCATGTTCCATTCCAGCTTGCTGACTTACCCCCCACTCCCGCCACCACCCCATAGGTAACCGTTCAATGTGTTTAATGTACATGTATTTATTATGTGTTCTTACAAACTGTGTAAGCCTATATTATCAATTTACATAATGGTACTGTGTGACACATCTTACCCTTTCGTTTTTCACTGAAGTCGGTTTTTAAGATCCAACTTCGTTGCTATGTATATAGTGAGTCTATTGATTCTAATTGCTGCAGAATATTCCATGACTCTTATCTCTTCATTAGGTGATTACTATATGCCAGATTGAGTACTAAGTGATTTAGGTATTGATAACTTGGATTACTAATAACAATGAGAGTGTAAAGCATTTGTGTTCATCAAAAGGGATGTGAATTTCTCAGAAGGTTTAAGAGACGGGGCTCTCTGAAGGTATTTTATTTATTATTTACTTATTTATTTATTTATTTATTTATTTTTAAGACAGAGTCTTGCTCTGCCACCCAGGCTGGAGTGCAGTGGCGTGATCTCAGCTCACTGCAACCTCTACTTCCCAGGTTCAAGAGATTCTCCTGACTCAGCCTCCTGAGTAGCTGGGATTACAGGCACCTGCCACCATGCCCGGCTAATTTTTGTATTTTCAGTAGAGAAGAGGTTTCGCCATGTTGGTCAGGCTGGTCTCGAACTCCTGACCTCAGGTGATCTGCCCACCTCAGCCTCCTAAAGTGCTGGGATTACAGGCATGAGCCACCATGCTGGGCCTCTCTGGAGGTATTTTCAAAGGCTAGATCGCCAGCCACTTTACCAGCTCGCTGTCTCTGCTGTCATGGCTCTCTCTGCTGTACAATGACTCTCCCTCTCCCTCACTTTCCTTTTCACGTCTATCTAAACAACTCCTAATTTGCTTGCCCAGGGAGCTCCCTATATTTGTATTCATTTTTTTTGGTTACAGTCTTCTGTGAGCACCAGTCTAGTGATTTAAACCATGGGCTCTGGGATCAGCCCATCTGGGCTCAAATCCTAGCTCTATGTTAACCGGCTGGTATAACCTGAGGCAAACTGCTTAATGCATCTGCACCTCAAGTCCTCATCTGTAGGATGGGGATGATGGCACCTACTCTATAGCATTGCTGTGAGAATTAAACAGGGTGTTACAGTGCCAGGCATGCAGTATCTGCAGTAATAAGTATTTTTTATTTTTCTGTGCCCTTTGCCTAATTTTTGTATTTTCAAATGGTATCTAAAATTGCTCTTTTTTCAGGTTATCGACAAATTCAAGTTCTCCAGGTCCAGTGATTCCCCTTCTGTTTCGGCCCTACTTCCCTCAGCAGCAGCGGCCGGTCCCAGCTTTTTAAGTCTTTATCCCTTGAGTACCAGGAATCTACTATTTCTGGTCTTTCCTCCTGCCTCAGAGGCCCAGTTTTGAATGGCTAAGGACCCAGGAGCCATTTAACTTCTTTATCTACGCTCTCCCTGGAATAACCGTTTTATCCTGTCCCCTGGGTTTAAACATCAGCCACACACTGACGAATTTCATATCATCAGCCCCTATCTCTCCCTTAAGCCTCGGGCTCGCCTCCACAGTCATCCCTCAGCTATCTGGCACCCCTCATACCCGGCAGGTGCACAGTAGAGTCTTCGTTTCCTCTGGACTTGCAAACCTGCCTCTTCCGCAGTCTCACTTACCTCTGCCAGCTGTGCGGAGAATCGACTCATGCAGAGAGAAAGGAACTCCCCGCAGGAGTCCAGGTGAGAGAGCTTTGTGGCTTGGACTGGAGTTGTGGCAGTGGAAAAGAGGAGCAGTGGTCACACACCAGATTCTTTTGGCAAGGGAGGGGGTGAGGAGGCAGACCGGGAGCCGGGATCCAAAACTCCATGTATGAGAGGCAGGCAAGGTTCAGACAGAAAGAATACATTTCACAACAAAGGCTGTTAAGGGCAAACTATAGGGAATGTTCTGGGGACCCAAAAGAATGTGTGTTTTGCTGCTTACCACTGCAGAGGTGCAGGGAAAAGAGGACTCTTTATGAGACAGTTTTTAGGGAAGCTGGGTTGCAAAGGGAAAGGTATGTTGTAGAAAATGGTAGATAAAACCATCACAGATCCCCATAACCAGATGTGATTTCTTGGTCCTCTAAAGTCTCACAGATATATAAAATACAAATATATAAATACATATGTATATATGTGTGTATATATGTACACACATACATAAATATACATGTATCTCCCTTTTTTAGTTTTTAAAACTTAATAAGATATTTCAAACATGCAGAAAATTCTAATGTTACAAATTTCCTTATACCTACCACCTGCCTTTAATGTATATACTTTTTTTTCTTTTTGAGACAAAGTCTCACTCTGTCACCCAGGCTGGAGTGCAGTGGCACAATCTTGGCTCACTACAACCTCCACCTCCTGGTTTCAAGCAATTCTCCTGCCTCAGCCTCCCAAGTAGCTGGGACTACAGGCATGTGCCACCATGCCTGGCTAATTTTTGTATTTTAGTAGAGAAGGGGTTTCACCACGTTGGCCAGGCTGGTCTCGAATTCCTGACCTCGTGATCTGCCTGCTTCGGCCTCCCAGAGTGCTGGGATTACAGGTATGAGCCACCGCGCCCGGCTGTATGTACCCCCCCCTTTTTTTTGAGATGGAGTCTCACTCTGTCACCAGGCTGGAGTGCAATGGCATGATCTCAGCTCACCGCAACCTCCGCCCCCCAGGTTCAAGTGATTCTCCTGCCTCAGCCTCCCGAGTAGCTGGGATTACAGGTGTGTGCCACTGCACCCAGCTAATTTTTGTATTTTTAGTAGAGACAGGGTCTCACCATCTTGGCCAGCTTGGTGTATGTACCATTTTAATGGCACCTACCTATGTAGTGTTGTATTAGTATTTCTTTTCTTTCTCCTGTATTATAGAGAGGTGGCTGAGGGCAGGGGTTTGCCCTCCTCTTTGTCTCAGGGTCACCTTGCAGTGTCTGTATACCTTAGACCCCTAATTGTTGCTGAATTGAATTGAGTTCTTGAAAGACCTCAAAGAGACCTTCAGGAAAAAGGAAAGCGTAGCAAGCAGCACATATGATTCTCACAGATTTGAGAAGCTGCAGCTATTTTTAAGGTATATTAATTCGGAAGGAATTACTGGAAGTGAAAATAGGACAGCCGCATCTTGTGGCATATAACATTGAAAACTTATTTCATGTACTGATATCCTTGACTAATATTTCTGACTCTGGAATTAAAGCCACAGGCAACCTGAATCCCAGCTTTCCACAGTATCTGTGCCCTCCTACAATTGATGTTATTTATTATGAAAGATCTTTAGCTGATAACAATTTACCATTAGATACATCAGGTTTATCATTAGACGTTTGTGCTCTTTGTCGAGTCCCAATGGTTTTGTCTTCTGCCCTAACCTCCCTTTACCTGCTACAAATGCAGGAAAGTGTTGTACTGCCTGAAATATTAGAATCCTACCAGACTGTTCCTTGGCACAGAGCTACCTCAATGACTTACCAGAATTTCCAGAATTCACAGAATAATTTGCTGTATACCACGGTAAATGAGACCTTGGCAAGCTTTCTAGCTAGTGGTAATGGCAACTGGCTTGCCCTGGATGGTCCCAGTTGTAGATCAATGAATTATTTTCATGCTCCCTCTTCACTCTCAAAATGGTCTCCGGGACAGGCACAGTGGCTCACGCCTGTAATCCCAGCATTTTGGGAGGTCAAGCCTGGCGGATCACCTGAGGTCAGGAGTTAAGAGACTAGCCTGGCCAACATGGTGAAACACCATCTCTACTAAAATACTGAGTAGCTGTAGTCCCAGCTACTCAGGAGACTGCGGCACGAGAATCGCTTGAACCCAGGAGGCGGAGGTTGCAGTGAGTGGAGATGGTGCCGCTGCACTCCAGCCTGGGTAACGGAGTGAGACTCAGTCTCAAAATAAAAGTGTCTCCTTTTAGCTGATAAATTATGTGATCACTCTATTAATTCCCACACCTAAACTTTTTACATTATAGGACTGCCTTATGTGGATGGGACTTTCATTTTTGAAATTTCTGCAGTGTCTCATTAAGTGGATTAAATAAGAGCCTTTGATTGTTAAAGGAAGACACACTAGACATTACACACCACTCTATTTCTGGCATCGCGCTTTCTGAACATAATACAAACCAAAATAAAACCATGCACCCAGATGTTACCATCGAATCGCACCGAAATGACATAGCTGCTTTCCATGGGGAAAATGTAAACCATCAAAAAAAAAAAAACAAAAAAAAAACCCAGTAAGACTAAAACGTAAATTACATGGTAAAAAATGTTCAACATTTCCAGTCCGAGACCATTCACATTTAATTGAAAACCAGCTTAAATTTCAAAAACAGCAACAACAGTCCAGGCTGCCTTTTTTATTACCCATTGGATTGCTCCCTGTCTCTTCATCTGTATCAGTTCCAAAAAAAAAAGAAAGAAAAAATAATAATACAACATTGGAATAACATGAAGTTATAACAATATTTTCAGCCCAGCAATTTCAGCCCAATTTTCAGCAGTAACGTTTCATTAGAATCAAACATTTCCTAGATGGTTTAAAAACACAATGAAAATCTGGCACTTTGGGAGCTTATGCGAATACAGCTTTAACTTCTTATTTTCAAAGAAAAATGAGATTTAACATTAAAAAACTAAAGCAATGCCCCTGAAGGTTCTTTTCTTAAAAAAGAAAGGAAACTCAACCTGCTGTACATATTAAATAATTCAAGTCAATGATCCTTTTAAGCCTTTAGCAATGCATAAACCAATGGGGAGAAGCAATCTAATACTTCATGCATTTAGGGGATTGCATTAGAAAGACTGCTAGTCAGGTTCTGCTTTTATAAATGCAAATGTATGCAAAGCAGACAGATTGGGATCTGTACAATTTAGCAATGATCGAAACTTGTAATTTTTGAAAATGGGACAGATGTCCAGACTAGTTATATTAAGATGCTTCTTACTGAAGAAGAAACCAAACCAAACAAACAATTCAATGCCACCTCCTCTTTTAACCGGAAACAAATAAAGAAAGCCATGACAAATTAGAATAAGTTATATATCAACTTGCTTCTTTCATGGATTGTTAAAGTTGAGAGTCAGCTTAGGGTAGTGGAATAAACATTTCCAGCATATATCACGGCATTACTCATCTTTCTGTCCCTAAAACACAGGTATGAAGGGAAATGTGTCCCCATTCAAGGACCAAGGGGTAGGCTAAAGTCTAGCTTCCAGAGCAGCCAGGTCCCTGGTTCTGTGGACTATGCTCTCCTTGAACCAGAGTCAGGACAGTCAGTAAATATGAATGAAAGCCTTTGTTTACTCACTTAAACTTGCTGAGTGCTCAACACCTTCATGTTTGTAATATCGTAGCTCCAGAGGTTTATTTGATGATGGCAAGTGACTAGAATTTGATGATGGCAAGTGCCTGGGGAAATAAAGGTGAAAACATAAGTCTGGCGGGAAAGACAAAGTAAATGTATGATTAGGATGAGTGCTAGGGGCCGGGCACCATGACTCATGCCTGTAATCCCAGCACTTTGGGAGGCCGAGGCAGATGGATCATGAGGTCAGGAGTTCAAGATCAGCCTGGCCAAGATGGTGAAACCCCCTCTACTAAAAATACAAAAATTGGCTGGGTGTGGTGGTGTGTATCTGTAATCCCAGCTACTTGGGAGGCTAAGACAGAGAACTGCTTAAACTCAGGAGGTGGAGGTTGCAGTGAGCCAAGATCACACTACTGCACTGCAGTTGGGTGACAGAGCGAGACTCTGTCTCAAAAAAAAAAAAAAGGTGAGTGCTAGGTAGAATAACAAGCCAATGCATGGTGAGCCATGGCGACCGATGTGAGGATGGATTCATTCTGATTGAGCCACCAAAAAAATACTTCACTATGGTCCAGGCATGGTGGCTTATGCCTGTAATCCTAACACTTTGGGAGGCCAGGAGGATTGCTTGAGGCCAGAAGTTTGAGACCAGCCTGGACAACATAACAAGACCTCATATCTTAGGGGGAAAAAAAAAAGACTTTATCACTATAAACTTTAAAGTGAGTCTTGGGTCTTGAAATATCGCTGGGTGGACAAAGTGAAAAAAACACCCTCTGGGCAGAGGTTAAGTGTTACAAAGGAGGTTGTTGAATCGCCTGAGTCCAGGAGTTCAAGACCAGCCTGGGCAACATGGTGAAACCCCATCTCTACAAAAATTACAAAAAATTAACTGAGCATGGTGTCACACACCTGTGGTCCCAGCTACTTGGGAGGAAGATTGCTTGAGCCTGGGAGGTGGAGGCTGCAGTAAGCTAAGATGGTACCAATGCACTCCAGCCTGGGTGACAGAGTAAGACTCTGTCTCAAAAATAATAAAATAAATGTATGTACAAAGGCATAGAGAGAAGCAACTAGAAGAGTCGAGTGGGAGGCACTGAGGTTACAAGAATTCTATCAAATCTTCATTAGGAATGTCTACGTGTGAGGCATGGTGTGAGCACAGGGATAGAGTCCCCACAGTTGCTAGGAGTTCATGAAGGGGAAGGATGCCCAGTTGTGCTTCAGAACAATCACTCTGGAGTCAAGGCAGAGGAGGATGGTGGGGGTTCCATCCTAGGGGCCAGGAGGCTTACTGTGGGCCCGAATCAACACAGTGACGGGGTGGAGAAAAAGAATGTCTGCCTATGACAGAGACTCCAGCCAGCTTTCCCACAACGCAGCCACTGCTTCACTTTTAGTCAGGGCCGATGGTTCCAGAGTTCATCCTTCTACTGAGCTAGAATCCACCTCGCTCTTACTGCCATTTGCTGGCCTCGTTGTGCATGCTGGAGAAATTCAGAAATGACAGCTCCTCAAATAGCGGGGCTGTGTTCATGCTTGATTGCTATCAGCAAAATTCAGATAAAATATTTATATTTTTCTAATAAACAAAAAAGCAGACATAGGGTGAGCATTTCAAAACCTGCCTAGATTTCCCACTCTCAACGTTTGAGGCAAGGATGTGAGGTCTTCCTAAAGAGTCTAAAAAGAAGACAGTTTTACAAATTCTTCCTTAAAAAAATAAAGCCTCAGCTTTATCCATGTCTTCTGGATTTGGGAACCTTTTACTTAATGAATTACCCCTCTTCTTGCTTCCCAAACTCAATAAATAAGGGGAAACTGTTTCTCCATTCAAGAAATTAGAGTTTTGTGGCTGGGCGTGGTGGCTCATGCCTGTAATCCCAGCACTTTGGGAGGCCAAGGCAGGCGGATCACTTGAGGCCAGGAGTTCGAGACCAGTCTGGCCAACATGGTGAAACCCCATCTCTACTAAAAATACAAAAATTAGCTGGGTATGGTGGCAGTCACCTGTAATCCCAGTTACTTGGGAGGCTGAGGAAGGAGAATCACTTGAACCTGGGAGGCGAAGGTTTCAGTGAGCCGAGATCACACCACTGCACTCCAGCCTTGGCAACAGAGTAAGACTTTGTCTCCAAAAGAAAAAGAAAAGTAGGGTTTTGCTATTCCAAAGACACCTAGACCTCCACTCAATGTCCAGTATTCTCCATGAATGAGGGGCAGAAGAGCAGAAGAGGTCAGCCTCTAATCATGACCTCTGCCCTCTGCTTTCTCACCTTAGGAGACCCACTTCCTACAGGTACCCTGAGAAGTCTGCAGTTCTAAGAAGTTTCCTGGATTTCTATCTACAATCTTAGAAAGGGCCCTTCAGGCCACAGTATCTTACCAGAGCATGATGGCGAACCATTGTGCTCCCTGGTCAGCCAGAACTCTGCCCCTGTGGTAATGAGGCTTTTCTAGTCATGGAGCCCAGGGATTAATATTGCTACTAAGTTTTGATCAGGAAAATGTAATTTACATTTTTTATTGTGAAAGTTGGCAAACATACATAAAGAAGATTGAAGAGGAAAGTGAACTCACACATTCACTTCCTTCAGATTCAACATTTCCAACATCTTGCCACACTTGCTTCATCTATCCTTTTCTTTCTTTTTAACTTACCTTTTTTTAGAGACAGGGTTTCGCTCTGTCACCCAGGCTGGAGTGCAGTGGCGCACTGGAGCCTTGAACTCCTGGGCTTAAGTAATCCTCCCACCTCGGCCTCCCAAAGTGCTGGGATTACAGGGATGAGCCACAGGGCCCACCCTACTTTCTTTGTCCTTTTTCTTTCTCTTGTCTTTTCTTCTTTCTTTCCTCTTTTTCCTCTCTTCCTCCTCCTTTCTTTCCTTCCTCTCTCCCTTCTTTCCTTACTGTAGTATTTAAACCAAATGTCTTACATCATATTCTAGGCTTATTTCAGAGTATGTAACTCTAAAAAATGAAATTTTTTCTTATAGACCCACAATACTGTTATCGTACCTGACCAAATTAACAATTCTCTAACATCATCTAATACCTAGTTCCCAAGAAAGTTTTAAAATCATAAGGCTTGGAATTTCTATTGTCTCTCCAGAGAAAGGCCACGCTGCAGACAGCCCAACAGATTCATTATCGGGGAATTTTTGTGGATACTCAGCTGAAATTTTTATCCTGTTACTGCATATTGTACCCCCATATATCATGTTAAATAATTAATCCCTTTTTAAAGTTTACACATTTCAGATTTTTGTATACATTTAGCTGGTGTCTCTTTCATCTTTGCTTAGCAGAGCTATACACATTTAATTCTTTTAATATTTCTTATAAATCAATCCCGTCAGCCCGTTAATCATGTTGGAGCTTTTCTTTGAACCTCCTCCAGCTGGTTTCCATAAGCCTAGTAATGAGTTGTCCAGAACCAGACGCAGCACTCCATGAGCAGTTTCACCCAAATCGAATCGCTCCCCACTTCTCCAAATGCTCAATCCCAAACCACAAACGCCTTATTTTCTGCCTCATTTTAACAGAAACAAATGTCTTGTTTTCTGCTTTTATTCCCAGTTACTTTTTTGGCATTGCAGCCTGTGTCTCATCCCTCCCACTGAACATCTGTGCCTCAGAGTGCTGTTCTCCAGATGTGATGTAAACAGCATTGTGGAATCAGAAGAGTATAGAGAGAGCTCTGCCACTCCAGCTGCGTGACTCTTGGCAAAACACCTAGTCCTCACACCACTTCCAAGTTCTTCACCTAAATAACAAATAAGGACAGATCCTACCTACCCTACAGGATTGCTGGAGAGACAAATGAGATGGTGTAAATGAATGGGGTTTACTGGCCAGGCGCAGTGGCTCATGCCTGTAATCCCAGCACTTTGGGAGGCTGACGTGAGCAGATCACTTGAGCTCAGGAGTTTGAGACCACCCGGGGCAACGTGGTGAAACCTCGCTTCTACAAAAAAGTATTTAAAAATTAGCCGGTGTGGTGGTGCACACCTCAGCTACTAGGAAGGCTGAGTGAGAGGATCACTTGAACCCAGGATATTGAGGCTGCAGTGAGCCACAATCATGCCACTGCACTCCAGCCCAGGCAACAGAGTGAGACCCTGTCTCAGAAAAAAGTGGGATGGGGTGGGGGGTGTTTACTAACTTTAATGACCTTTCTTTGTAGATAAACATATCTACTTAGTGAATTTTTGTACACTTAATATGCACGAGGTGAACATCTATATCCTCTAAAGTCTTTTTCACTTGCACCAAAGCCTATTTCATCATTTAATAATCATTACTGTCAGAAAATTCTGTTTCAGCTCAGTTCTTCTTACCAAAACAATAGCTTATAAAGCATCTTTGAAATGTATAATTTGAATCCATAAATCATGAAAATTTCAGATTGATCTTTCTCCTCTTGGCTATAAATCAGGCATGTGGCATCTGCTTCTGTTTACTGATTGTTTACTAGGTTCTAAGAATCATACTAAACATTATCAGAGTTACCTGACTTAGGCTTCATAATTTTATGAAGTAGACATTATAAATAATCCCACTTTATAAATAAGTAAACTAAGGCTCAGAAAAGTCCATTAACTTGCCTGAGGTTAACAGCTGATGATGAACAGTAGGGCCAGGAAAATCTCTAACATGAGAGCCCGTACTGTCAACCACTGGCATGATTTAATATTTCAAATACTAACTGGGAACCCCTAACTATAGACTAACTTCAGAAAGCCTCCTATTTGCCAAGCACTTGAGAGAAGTGAAAAGGCATTGTCCTTTTCAAGAAGGTGTTTGGCTGGTAGGGGACTCACAGCTGTTAAAAGAGGAACAAGCATGGTGGCAGTCATTATCATAAGGCAACTGTACCAACTAGGCAATAAGCTGTAAGAAAATGCTACTCTTACACCAAAATACAGATTCATTGTTTTTAAGAAAAACCATTTGATGACTATGTTTAGTCATTTTTCCTTCTAATTCCATTGGTCTCGATTACCTAGTAAATTACCAAATACCATCAATTTTCCTTTAAACTGTCCATTCAAATATCCATTATCTGGTGATACTGTAGTTTGGCATTTATTGCCTCAATCCTGCATTACTACACCAGACTCAGTTCCAACTGGGCTCTCTGCATCCCATTTCTACCTATTCAGTTTTTGGCACATGTCACTATCAGATTAATCTTCTTAAAATAAAGCTTCCATATGAACCAGTCCCTTCACTGCAGCTTTACTCAATCCTGGCTTTCAACGGTATAAATGATGCAGTCCCAAATGATGCAAATCCTCCTCTCCATCCAGACCAATCTGCTCTTTCCTGACTGTGTTCATCTTGCACACCATCATTTTTGCTGGAACTATTCTCCCCTCCTCAACTGCTCTCCTTTCTTAAGCCTTTGAATATTAAATATTGTTCAAGGCTCAACTCAAGGCCTTTCTCTTCTATCCTGACTACGAGGCGTCCTGTTGTCCCTCTTGTTTTCAGCAGGAGATCAACAGATGCTTACAGAAATGAAGTACTGCTCTATCAATAGCACTTTTTGGCAATACCATTCACTGATATTTACAGAGTGTCTTTACCACACTGCTACTTACCTTCTTACATGTACACTTCTTGATTTCCCATTAAATGAAAGTTTCTTAAAGGTCTGGACTACATCTTTTGTATGCCACGCATTCTTTCCCTGCACAGTAGGCACTTGTGAATATTTGAAAACTGACATCATTAATTCATATAAAAGAAAATCACCTAGTTATTACCTTTAGATCATATTGCCAATTCTGTGAGCCAAAAGAATACTGATGACTTAAGATATCTGGCCTCTAAGTCCTGTCCTTAATAATGTAATAATTTGGGGTTAGGAGAATTTACTTTTCCATGCCCCAGTTTTCTCGTTTATAAAGTAAGAATTAAAGAGTCAGATAATTCAGAGCACCTGAATACATGAATCCTGATTGATTAAATGCTTTGCAATTAGTCAACACGTTGACAGATTCTTTTCTAAGAATATAAAATTCAACACAACATTATGGTATCACAAGTCAGCTTATCTGTCTTAACTAGATACAGTGTTCCAATTCTAGCAAAAGTACAGAAAAGAACCTCAAAACAAGTTACCATTTAGGTGTAGAAAGCTCCAACAGAGTATAAATTTTATCCTAACAGTGAGAAAAAAAAACTGGATAACTCCCTGAGCCCATCAGAGAACTAATGGGGGACAAGCCTCTCTTGAGGAGAGATGGAAAAATGAACTGTTTTCAGTTTTGGCAGAATATAGAAGGGATAGGTAACTGCCATAAAAGTGGGTGTATTAGATACGGTTCTGCAGAGAAACAGAAGGATACAGTGTGTGTGTGTGTGTGTGTGTGTGTGTGTCTGTGTGTGTCTGTGTGTGTGTGAAGAGACTTATTAGATAAGAGACTAAGAAGACTCACAATCTGCCACGTGCAAGGTGGAGATGCAGGAATCTGGGTCTGAGGCCTGAGAACCAGGGGTGCCAAGGGCAGGATAGCTCAAGCAGAGAGGGGGCAATTCCAGCCTTCCCCTGCCTTTTGTTCTATTCAAGTCCTCAACAGACTGGATGATGCCTACCCCTACCAGGGAGGGAGGGCCCTTTGCTTTACTTAGTTCACCAATTCAAATGCAAATCTCTTCTGGAGATACCCTCACAGACACACCCAGAAATAATGTTTAATTAGATATCTGGACATCCCATGGCCCAGTCAAGTTGACACAGAAAATTAACCATCCCAGCAGGTAAAAAGAAAACAGCTGAAATTGTCATAAATTGTTAAAGTCCAAGAGTAACAGGTTAGAAACAAAGCAATCAACAGACACATGAGAAGTCCACACTCGCTTCCTCATTCTTCTCCATGGGTCTCTACTAGGTGTTCACAAAAAAGATTGGGGCAGGGCAGGAGAACTGAGAAACTCTGCAGGTGGCACAAAGGCACAGAATTCCCTGACACATGAGCCCTTCTCTTACACGAAGGGAAAGTCTTAAGTTGCTGGGGGAGAGGCCCAGGAAAAGATGCACTGCCTTTGGTAGAAGGGTGAAAGTGAGAGCTGTCTGCCACTCAAGGAAGGGCAGAAAATGAGTTCAGGCCAGGATCTTGCACTGATACAAAGCAGAGCTCTGCCACTACTGGGGAAGGGGCAGAATGACTGAGAAATCCCTGGATTCAACCACCCCTGGAGTCTAGGAGCTCAGGGCCCAAGACCGAAGCTGGAGGATGAAAACTAAAAAACACGCTCTTACTCCGTGATGAGCTATAACAAGCAACAGTCAGTCACCAGGGGAGCTCAAAAGGAGCATGAATTAGATTCCTCCTGTGGCACAGATGTGAAGACTTGCTGAAATCTGAGCATGGAGGGAAACACTAAGGAAAAACCCTTCTGCAATTCAGACCTCACATGAAGCACAAAGCAGCAGCAGTCCACTCCTGCAGTGACTGGAAGTCTGGTGCACTGTAAGTACAGCAGCAACAAACCCAAACCTAGTTCAGCCACTGACTAGACTGTCACAACCTCCACACTAATGACTGGACACAAAAAATGTGCCTATTTCTGGACAGAAGTACTACGTATCAAAGTCTATTTTATACACAATATTTGGTATACAATCAAGAAATACAAAACACACAGACAAGAAAGAAAAAAAGCTGTTAACAGACTCACAAAGTTGTTAACAGACCTAGACTTGAATGTTAGAACTGATCAGACAAGGAATTTAAAGTAACTACGACTAATATGTTAAAGGAAAAAGTAGGCAAAATGCATCAAAAGATAAAAGGAAAAGGTAGACAAAATGCATCAAAAGATAAAGAATGTCAGCAGAGCTGGGTGCACTGCACTTTGGAAGGCTGAGCCAGGAGGATCACCTAAGGTCAGGAGTTCAATACCAACCTGGCCAATATGGTGAAACCCTGGTTCCACTAAAAAATTACAAAAATCAGCCAGGCATGGTGGCAGCTACCTGTAATCCCAGGTATTCGGGAGGCTAAGGCAGGAGAATCGCATGAAATGGGGTTGGCGGAGGTTGCGGTGAGCTGAGATTGTGCCACTACACTCTAGCCTGGGTGACAGAGCCTGACTCCTTCTCAAAAAAAAGAAAAAAGAAAGTCAGCAGAAAGATGAAAACCAGAACAAAGAGTTAAATGAAAATGCTAGAATTTAAAACATGATCTTAAAGAAAAAGAATTTCTTCAACAGGTGTTGAGCACACTAGACATGGTTGAGAAAAGAAACAGTGAACCTGAAGACAGGTCAATAGAAATTATACAAAATGGGCCGGGCACGGTGGCTCACGCCTGTAATCCCAGCACTTTGGGTGGCCAAGGTGGGTGGATCATGAGGTCAAGAACGAGACCATCCTGGTCAACATGGTGAAACCCCGTCTCTACTAAAAATACAAAAAATTAGCTGGGCATGGTGGCGCGTGCCTGTAATCCCAGCTACTCAGGAGGCTGAGGCAGGAGAATTGCCTGAACCCAGGAGGCGGAGGTTGTGGTGAGCCGAGATGGCGCCATTGCACTCCAACCTGGGTAACAAAAGTGAAACTCTGCCTCAAAAAAAAAAAAAAAAAAAAAAGAAATTATACAAAATGAAAGACATATTAAAAACTAAGAAAGCAGAGTATCCAGGAGCCATGAACCAATAAAAAGGTTAAATATACCTGTTATTTGAGTGGCAGAGAGAAAAGGGGAAGAGAGGAGCATGGAACAGGATAAATATTTGAAGAAATGATGGCTGAAATTTTTCTAAAATTAATTTTTAAACTATGTTTTTTCTTCTTTTTTTTTTTTCAGCCCACTTGGGGAGACAGACCAAAACTGATCTTTAAGAAAAGGAAAAAAGGACTAAAGAAATTAAGAGGCCCCCAAAAGGATAAATACGAAGAAAATCACTTATAGACACATCACACTGCTAAAAATTAAGACAAAAAAATCTTGAAGGCAGCCAGAGAAACTATACAAGCCAGAAGATAACTGAGTGATTTCATTAAAGTGCTGAAGAAAAAAGAAGTTAACCAACATCGATTTACATATCTGTAAAAGTACATTTCAAACATGAAACACTTTTTCAGACAAAACTGACATAATTCATTGCTATTATACCTGTTCTATAAAAATATTAAAGGAAATCATTTCAAAAGAAGAAATATGAGACCAGAATGAAATTTGATTCTACATAAGGAAAGAAGAAACAGTACCAGGATATGAATAAACATAATAGATATTATGATTTTTAATCTCTTTAGAAGGTAACTGACAGTGTAAAGCAAGGGTTGGCAAGCTACAGTATGAGAATAAATATAGTTATTGGAACACAGCCACACACAATCATTAATGTGTATTTTCTTTTCCTTGCTTTTAGAGACAGAATTTTGCTCTGTGGCCCAGGCTGGAGTACAGTGGCACAATTTTGGCTCACTGTAACCTCCCTCTCCTGGGGTCAAGCGATTCTCCTGCCTTATTAGCCTCCCTATTATCTGGGACTACAGGCATGCATCACCATACCTGGCTAACTTTTGTATTTTTAGTAGAGACAGGGTTTTGCCATGTTGGCCAAGCTGGTCTTGAATTCCTGACCTCAAGTGATCCATCCACCTCAGCCTCCCAAAATGCGGGGATTAAAGGCCTGAACCACTGCACCCAGCCTCATTTATGTGTATTTTCTATGGCTGCTTTCATGCTATAATGGCAGAGGTGAGTAGATGCAACAGAAACCATATGGTCTGGAAATCCTAAAATATTGACAGGCCTACCTCACTTATTGCACTTCACTTTATTGAACTTTCCAGATATTGTTTTTTTTACAAATTGAAGGCATATGGCATCAAGCAAGACTATCGGTACCAATTTTCCAACAGCATGTGCTCACTTTGTATCTCTGTGTCACATTTTGCTAATTCTCAAAATATTTCAAACTTTGCCATGATGATTATATCTGTTATGGTGATCTGTGATTGGTGATATTTGCTGTAACTATTGTAATTGTTTTGTGGCATCACAAACCACATCCATATAAGACAGCAAACAATTTATAAATGTTGTATGTGTTCTGACTGCTCTATTGACCAGCCATTCCCCCACCTCTCTCCCTCTCCTCAGGCCCCCTATTCTCTGAGACACAACAGTATTGAAATTAGGTCAATTAATAATCATACTATGGCTTCTATGTGCTCAAACAAAAAGAAGAATTGCACATCTCTCATTTTATTTTGAGACAGGGTCTTGCTCTGTCATCCAGGATGTAGTGCAGTGGTATGATCTCTACAACCTCCACCTCCTGAGTTCAAGCAATCCTCCTGCCTTGGCCTCTTAAAGTGCTGGAATTACAGGCATAAGCCACTGTGCCTGGCCTACATCTCTTTTTAAATAGAAAGCTGGAAATGATTAAGCTTAGCAAAGAGGCATGTCAAACGACAAACAGTCTGAAAGCTAGGCCTCTTAGACCAGTCAGCCAAGTTGTGAATGCAAAGACATACAACTCAAAAGAAATTAAAAGTGCTACTCCAGTAAACACACAAATAATAAGAAAGCAAAAGAGCCTTATTGCTGATATGGACAAAGTTTTAGTGGTCTGGATAGAAGATCAAATCAGCCACAACATTCCCTTAAGCCATTCTAATCCCCAGAGCAAGTCCCTAACTCTCCTCAGTTCTATGAAGGCTGAGAGAAGTGAGGAAAATGCAGAAGAAGTCAGAAGCTAGCACAGGCTGGTTTATGAGGTATGAGGAAAGAAGCTACTGCATTACGTAAGAGTACAAGGTGAAGTCGCAAATGCTGATGTAGAAGCTGCAGCAAGCTATCTAAGAGATCTAGACAATAACATTGATGAAGGTGGCTACATTAAACAACTGATTTTCAATGTAGATGAAATAGCTTTATATTGGAAGATGCCATCTAGGACTTTTGCAACCAGAGAGGTGAAGTTCATGCCTGGCTTCAAAGTTTCGAAAAATAGGCTGACTCTCTTGTTGAGAGTTGCTGACTCACTAATACAGCTAGTGATTTAAATTGATGCCAATGTTCATTTACCATTCTGAAAATCCTAAGGCCCTTAAGAATTATGCTACATCTACTCTGCCTGTGCTCTTTAAATGAAACTACCAAGTTTAGATGACAACACATCTGTTTGCAGCATGGTGGACCAAATATTTTAAGCCCATTGTTGAGACCTACTGCTAAGAAAAATAATTCCCTTCAAAATATTATTGCTCACTGGCAATATACCTGGTCCAAGAGATGTACATGTACAAAATAATTTAAGTCCCAGTACTTTGGGAGGCCAGGCAGGCAGACTGCCTCCCAGCTTGGGCAACATGGTAAAACCCTACTAAAAAAATACAAAAAATTAGCCAGGCCTGGTGGCATATGCCTGTAGTTCCAGCTACTCAGGAGGCTGAGGCAAGAGAATTGCTTGAACCCAGGAGGCAGAGGTTGCAGTGAGCCGATATCATGGCACTGCACTCTAGCCTTGGCAAGAGAGCTAGAACCCATCTCAAAAAACCCCAGAAGATTAATGTTGCTTTCATGCGTGCTAACACAACATCCATTTTTGCAGCTTATGGATCAAGGAGTAACTTCAACTTTCAAGCCTTATTACTGAAAAAATACATTTCATAAGGCTATAACTGCCACTGAAAGTGGGTCCTCTGGATGGATGGATATGGACTAAGTAAACTGAAAACATTTTGGAAAGGATTCGCCATTCTAGAAGCCATTAAGAACATTCATGATTCATAGGAGGTCAAAATATAAATATTAACAGGAATTTGGAAGAAGTTGATTCTAGTCCTCACAGATGACTCAGAGGTTCAAGCCTTCAATGGAGGAAGAAACCGCAGATGTGGTAGAAATAGCAAGAGAACTAGAATTGAAGAGAACTAGAAGTGAAGTGAAGCCTGAAGATGTGACTGAGTTGCTGCAATCTCATGATAAAATTTGAACAGATGAGGAATTTTTTCTTATGGATGAGCAAATATTTCATCCGATTTCTTGAGATGGAAACTAATCCTGGTGACAACACTGTGAACATAGTTTAAATGACAACAATGGACTTGAATATTATATAAACTTATGTTGTTAAAGCAGAGCAGGGTTTGAGAGGACTGACTCCAATTTTCAAAGTTACTGTGCATAAAATGCTATCAAAAAGCATCACATACTACAGAGAAATCTTTCATGAAAGGAAGCATGAACTGATGTTGCAATCTTTACTGTTGACTTAAGAAATTGCCATAGCCACCCTAAGCTTCATCACCCGACCCCTGATCAGTCCACAGTCATCAACAAGAAAAGACCTTCCACCAGCAAAAAGATTATGACTCAGTGAATGCTTAAATTGTTAGCATTTTTTAGCAATAAAGCATTTTTAAATTAAGGTAACTTTTTTGTAGACATAACACTATTGCACACTTAACAGACTACAGTGTAGTATGAGCAAAACTTTTATAAGCACCGGGAAGCCAAAAAACTTACATGACTCACTTTATTGTGATATTCACTTTTTGCATATTTGTATTATTATGGTGGTCTGGAACCAAACCCACAATGTCTCCAAGGTATGCCTTTATAGAAAATGTTTGCTGACCCTAGCCAACAGCAATAAGGTAAAAACAAACAACAACAAACCCAATGTATTATAGGGTTTCTAACATGTAAAATTATATGTATAAAAACAATAGTATAAAAAACAGGAGAGAGAAATGAAAATATACTATTGTACGGTTTCTGCATTACACATGAGGTAGTAAAATACTATTTGAAAGTAATCTGTGATAAGTTAAAAGATGTATATGATAAATCCTATTTAAAACAGAAAAAAAAATTTCAGATGTATAACTAACAAGCCAAGAGATATAATGAAATACAAAAAAAGCACTCAGTACTACAGAAAACAGTCAAAAATGGAAAAAAGAACAATGAAAAGATGGCTCACATACAAATGAATAGGTAGTATAGCAAATCAAACCATGTCTATAATTACATTAAATGTAAATGGCCTAAACATCCTAATAAAAAAGTTGAGATTATCAGATTAGATAATAAAGCAACACCCAGGTATATGCTACCTATAAGACACCCACTTTAAATTTAAGGAAATGAAACAGCTAAAAGTAACATATATGTATATATATATAGTACAAACACTAATTTTAAAAAGCTAGAGGGGCTATGTTAATAATAGCAGACACATCCAGAAACATACTCAGAAAAAGAAATACTGTCAGGAATGAATACTGACATTCATAATGACAGATCAATCTATTAATAAGACACAACAATTTTAAATGTACATGACCCTTATAATAAGGTTCTCATACACATATAGCAAAAAAAGTGATAGAACTGAAAAAAGGACTGGGTCGGGCAGCTCATGCATGTAATCCTAGCATTTTGGGAAGCTGAGTTGAGCAGATCACTTGAAGTCAGGAGTTAGAGAACAGCCTGGCCAACATGGTGAAACGCTGTCTTTACTAAAATACAAAAGTTAGATGGGTGTGGTGGCTGGCACCTGCAATCTCAGCTACTCGGAAGATCGAGGCAGGAGAATTGCTTGAACCCGGGAGGTGGAGGTTGCAGAGAGCTGAGATTGTGCCACTGCACTTCAGCCTGGGCAACGGAGTGAGAGAGTGAGGCTCCCTCTCAAAAAGGAAGGAAGGAAGGAAGGAAGGAAGGAAGGGAGGGAGGGAGGGAGGGAGGGAGGGAGGGAGGGAAGGAGGGAGGGGGGAGGGAGGGAGGAAGGAAGGAAGGAGGGAAGGAGGGAAGGAAGGAGTATAATTGAAGATTGCAGGTCTCCTCTCACTGTAACTGATAGGCAAAGTAGAACAAAAACAGAAAACAAAACAAAAGCAAAACAAACCCCATGAAGGCTGTGGAAGACCTGAATAACACTAGCAACAACTTCGCCTAATTGACATTTACAGAATGATCCACTCAACAACCATGAAAACACATTCTTAACCAATGTACACGAAACAAATTCCAAGGTAGATCATTTCTGAGTCATGAAACAAGTCTTAAATCACACATTTTATATTCACGTATTTTATATTCTCTCACCACAATGAAATTAAACAAGACATTAAAGAACTTTATACAGAAAATCCTCTAATATTCAGAAATTAATGATATATTTATAAATAATAAAGTAAAATATAATGGAAATTATTTTAAATGGAATCATAACTTATTGTAACTTATGAGATGCAGCTAAAGCAGTGCTCAAAGAAAAACTGATAACATTAAACGCTTAAGTCTGAAAAGAAGTGACCTAGGTCTCTACTTTCAAAACTAGAAAAAGAGCAAGATAAACCTCAAGCTAGCAAAGGAGAGAAGATAATATAGATAAGAGCAATATATACATGACAAATAGAAATATATACATGAAATATATAAATATATACAAAAAATACATATACATGAAAAACAGAAATATATACATGAAATATATATGTAAAAAATAGTAAAAATCAATAAAAACAATTTTTACTATTTTTAATAGAAAAATCAATAATCAATATTATTACTCATTAGAAAAAGCAAATTCAAATAAAGACAAAAACTATTTGAAAAAGATTAATGAAATAACATAAAGATGATACAAATTAACAGTTATCAGGAATGAAACCAGAGATATCACTATAGTTCTTACAGGCATAAACAGAATAAAAGAACATTGTGAACAATATTTTTCATACAAAAACCACACTAAGCTATTACAAGAAAACTACAGCCAAAATTCCTTACAGAAACAAAACTCAACAAAATATTAGAAAACCAAAGTCAGCAGTATATAAAAGGGGTAAGACATTATAACTAAGTATGCTTTAACTTAGGAATGCAACGTCAGCTCAAGATTCAGTAGTCAATTATCTCAACAGATGTAGAAAAGCACCTGACAACAATCTATTCCTGATAAAAACTCTCAAAAATTAAGAATTGAAAGGAATTTCTTCAACCAAATAAAGAACGTCTACAAAAACACGTACAGCTAACAACATTCAATTGTCTCAACCTGATAAAGAACTTCTTTGAAAAACCTACACCTAGCAACATACTTGTTAAACATAAATGAATAGTAAATCCCTTAAGATCAGAAAGAAGGAAAATATATCTGCTCTTACTACCACTACTCATCATTGTATTGTAGGTCTTATCCACTGCTACATAGCAGAATAAAATGAAAGGCATACAGTTTGGAAAGGAAGAAATAAAACTGCCTTTATTCACAGCTGATGTGACTGTCTATGCTAAAAATCCCCAAGCATGTGCCATAAAGCTAGCAGAACTAAGAAAGGTTATCAAGCTTGTAGTATGCAAGTATCAGTTATATTTCTATATGGTAGCAACAAACCGAAGTTAAAATTAAAAACAGTATCTCTACAAAATCATCAAGATATATAAAAATTTAAAGAAAGGTTTTGCAAAATACACACTGAAACCTAAAAAAAATTACTAAGAGGAACATTTTATTTTATTTTATTTCTTTTTTGATATGGAGTCTCACTTTGTTGCCCAGGCTGGAGTGCAGTGGTGTGATCTTGGCTCACTGCAATGTTCGCATCCTGGGTTCAAGCAATTCTCCTGCCTCAGCCTCAGCCTCCCAAATAGCTGGGATTACAGATATGCACGACCACAACTGGCTAATTTTTGTATTTTTAGTAAAGACAGGGTTTTACCATGTTGGCCAGACTGGTCTTGAATTCCCAATCTCAGGCAATTCACCCACCTTGGCCTTCCAAAGTGCTGGGATTACAGGCGTGAGCCACCATACCCGGCCTACTGAAAGGAATTAAAAATGACGGAATGAATTATGAGATACGCTATGTTAATAGATTGTATGGAACAATATTGTTCTGATGTTATTCTCCCCAAATCTATAAACTCAAAAGAATTCTAATTAAAATCACAATGGACTTTTTATTTGGTAGGAAATGACAGGCTGATTCTAAAATTTATTTGAAAATGCAAAGAATCCAAATAGAATACCACAAATACTCAAATTAGAGAATGAGTCCTGATTTCAAGCCTTACCATATAAAGCTATAGCAATCAAGACAGTAAGGAATTGATGTAAGAATAAAATACAAATTAGGCCAGGCATGGTGGCTCTCGCCTATAATCCCAGCACTTTGGGAGGCCAACATGGGTGGGTCACTTGAGGTCAGGATTTCAAGGCCAGCTTGGCCAACATGGTCTCTACTAAAAATATAAAAATTAGCCAGGTATGGTGGCACCTGTAATCCCAGCTACTCAGTAGGCTGAGGTAGGAGAATTGCTTGAACCCAGGAGATGGAGGTTGCAGTGAGCTGAGATCATGCCACTGTACTCCAACCTGGGCAATAGGAAAGAAAAATCTCAGAAAGAAAAATAAAAAAAAAAAAGAATAAAAATACAAATCAATGGAGACAAATAGTTCCAATAGATGCAAATAAAAAAATATGGTCAAATAGTTTTCAACCAATATGCCAAGGTAATTTAACAGAGAAAGGATAATGCTTTCAACAAATGAAGACACAATTAGAATTTATATAGAACAATGTTTTAATGGGCAAAACAAAGTTTTAAATGAAAAAAATATTTTTTTAAAGTTCATTAAAGAAGATATAAGGATGACAAATAAGCATGAGAAGATATTCAATATTATTAGTCATTAGAAAATGCAAATTCAAAACCACATGACATATTATTCACAACTACTATAATGGGTAATATTTAAAAAGACTTATAATACCAAGTGCTGACAAGGATGTAGAACAACTATAAATTTCCTACATTGCTAGAGGGAATCCAAAATGCCACTGCTGCTCTGCAGAACATTTTGGCAGTTTCTTTAAAAGTTAAAGGCATGATGGCTCACACCTGTAATCCCTTGCACTTTGGGTGGCTGAGGCAGGTGGACTGCCTGAGCTCAGGAGTTCAAGACCAGCCTGGGCCACATGGGGAAACCCTGTCTCTACTAAAATACAAAAATTAGCCAGGCATAGCAGCATGTGCTTGTAGTACCAGCTACTGGGGAGGCTGAAGTAGGAGAATTGCTAGAACCTGGGAGGTGGATGTTGCAGTGAGCGAGGTTGCAGTACTGCACTCCAGCCTGGGCAACAGAGTGAGAATCCGTTTCTTAAAAAAACAAACAAACAGTTAAACATACACTTATTATATGATACAGCAATCCATTCCCAAGAGAAAAATATGTGCACATAAAGACCTGTATATAATGTTTATAGATGTTTTGTTCAAACAGCCCCAAACTGGAAGCAAAATAAATGTCTATTAACTAGTGAATGGATACACAAATTGTGGTACATCCATACAATGGAATGTAACAAAAAGGAAAGAGCTACTGATACATCCAGCAACATATCTCAAAAGCTTTGTATTCAGTGAAAGAGGCTAAATACAAAATACAAAATACTACATACTGTATGATTCCATTTATATGACATTCCTTAAAAGAAAAAAAAAAACAATACAGAGATAGAAATCAGATGAATGGCTGCCAGGACTGACGGTGACAGAAGAGATTGTTTACAAAAGGAAAAGGGCCAATAGGGAACTTTGGAGAATAATGGAAATATCCTATTATCTTCACTTTGATGATCCTTGTCATATGACTATATATATTTAGTAAAACTCTTTGAACTATACACTTAAAATGATGAACAATGTTGCATATAAATATGACTTTTAAAAATTCATTTAAAAAACAATTGAACTTATAACAAAATTTACCAGGATCCAAAATAAAGAACAATCTGAAAAACGAAGAGGTAAATGCACTTGTTGATGCTGCAGCAATCCAGGTAGTATGAGAGGGAGGCAAGATCTACTCCTCTCTGTAACTAAAGAGTTTGCATTTTAAGTGGAGATGGAAATGAAGTGTGGGATCTTGAGAGGTTTTGGAGTTGTGACACCCCCAAACATAGACATAAAACTGGTATCCTTAAAGGACTATATATTCAATAAAATGGCAGATACAACACAATTTACCACAAACATAGGGCAAAAATAAGGAAACTTTTCTTTATTGACTTAGGCTTTAAACAAAACACAACACAACAATAACAAAACACCTCTGCAATGATCATTTATGGTGAGGATTTCAGAACAGCGATACTCTGGTGTGCCTAGCAGAAACAATCCCAAAACCTCTATGGAAGGACACTCTCAATCCAAGCACACACACTCCCAAGTCTCACTATTAACTCAGAATCCAAGTTTGCAGCACAAAGAACACAAGGTAGGACACAATCTACCTTGGCTGAGAAGTGGGAGATTCAATAAGTAATTTAGAGCATATTCTATAAGAATTTCAGATAGCTGAGCTAACAGAGACTTAGACTAAATAGACAATAAGATTAAACAGAATAATAGGCTGCATAGAAAATTAGACTAAAAAATACACATAAATAAAAACCCTAAGAAATCAGAGAAAAACTCATTAAAACCATATTTTAATAAAGTAAACATGCACCTAAATAGTTAAGATGAAAACATAAAACACTTTGTGCTGATAAGAATGTAGAACCACTAGAATTCCCATATGGTGCTGGTACAGCGACTGTGAAAAACTGCTTGCAGTATCTTCTAAAGCTTAACACATACTCTACAACCTAGATTCCACTCTTAGAAATATCCATCAGAGGCCGGGTGCAGTAGCTCATACCTGTA